ATGCAGCAGAAACGGCAGGTGCAGCACATCCGTCGCCCCAGCAACCCGCGCAGCAACTGGCCAATGCCTGATGAGCAGCACAGGACCTGGTCCCACCCAGAGTACTACAGTGAGGGGTAGGTATCTGTACATGACATCTCCCTTATAGGCAAACTGGCATTTTAACACGTGTCCCTTATCAGGAGTTGTAAGAGAATATTTTGAAAAGAACACAAATACAAACACTTTTCTACCGATCTCTTGAACTTTGAAATGTGGCAGTGTTCAGTACAGTGCGTCTGTATCCTTCTTGCATTTACAAATCTGACAGTTTTTCAAAGTGTTAAAAACAAGATGCATACAGAGACCGCTGTATAAAATCTCTGATGCCATGTCTCAGGATTTGTTTTGTGCAGCAGTATAATGCTGAACTGTTGGAGGGTTATTTAAAGCTTAGTTTCATCGTAGTGCGCTAGAGTGGTGAGCAATGTTTTGATTCAGTTATTAATGTGGAAGACATCATCAACATGCGAGGCACGCACCGCGTTAGACAGGACTGTTGTCATCGAATTCTGCCCACAAGTGTGAGATAACGCCATCCTGCTTAGGGACCAATCCGAGAAAGTAGGCAGATGTAAACAAGCGGCTATTAGAAGCAGTAAACCCAGCGCAATAATGTAGTTCATGAAAAGGATTTCACTTTTGAACCACTTTGTTACAGCGCTTGCCAAGAAAGAGGACCATCAGATCCTGTAGATTAGAAGCTGCTATATGTTGATACATAGTCATCAAAGGCTTCAGGATCACCAGTTATATGTAACCAAGATGTCCAAAAACCTAAAACTTGTCAACCACATTTAGCCCCCTTAGCTTAGATGTCTTTAAAACCTGCCCTGTTTTTACATACATAAGGTTTTTTCTTAAATTGTGTATCATCAAGGCGTAAAGACATCATCAGATTAAGTTGAAACCTGCAATACCTTTTTTAAATACCGCATTACTTAGAGAATAACGGGAACAACACGAACTCCTCCTCTGGTTGTGTCCTCAGGGAGGCCGTGAACAGCAGCTGGTCGGCCAATCAGGGGGACTCGGCCAGCTCCAGCGATGAGACGTCTTCAGCCAATGGAGACAGTCTGTTCTCCATGTTTTCGGGGCCAGACCTTGTAGCCGCGGTTAAACAGAGGAGGTAAGTCGGAGCCAACATTATAATTATCATAAAATGCAATTCTTTAGTTTTGTGTTTGTGTGTGGAGGATCAACCAAATAGTGATCTCTTTCCCTCATCCCTTGTTTTACCACAAACGTGTACTGATAATTATTGCATGAAAGAGGATGTGAAAGCTTGACTACACCTTATACCTGCTCTCTCACCATTATGCTCACTCTGTCACAGTAGAAATGCCTGCTGGAGCTCGGCTGTGAGAAAAATACTCGAGCTGTATGTGAGCGCTGCTGAGGTTCAATGTCTATTTCTCTGTTCTCAGAAAACACAGCTGTGGTGAGCCGGAGGTGTGCACCCTGCCCTCACCACCACTCCATCACATCGGCGATGACAACCAGGTAACTTCTGAGCCCTCCAGTATTGAGCATGGTGCTGGTGCTCATTTAGAGTTGGAAGTTTGCAAATGTCAGTTTTTTTTGTTCTTTGTTTTATTTTGAGGAAGGTTTTGTTTGTTGTTCTGCTTCCCAAGGTTGATGAAACCAAAATCTTTGCTTAAACTTTGTTCCACAGCTGAGACACAACAAAGGGTTACAAAAATAAATTGGGTGCAAATTACCTTTTATTTTTTATTTAACATTTGGAATAATTTTTCTTGTGTGGGATGCATGGTCTTTTTTTATTTATTTATTTATTTTTTACATCTGGAATAATGCTAGTGTGTGGCTGCATTTACCAATCTGGCATTACCAGATCTGGTATTTTTAATTGCGATTAACTGCATGATTTTCTTGCAATTAATTGTATTAGGTGCACAATTGAATAATGAATTCTAAAGTAGTGTATTGTGCACTTCTAATTTAAATGTACACAAGTGTAATAACGTGTGGTTTGCAAACACTTTAAACAAATAAGGTTCTTTTTACCAGCAGTATTCCCTTTACTCAGTAGCAATAACATATTTCTTCAATTAATTTGAATTAAATCAAATATTAAACCAAAACTATTTGCCACTGCCAGGGCATTACCTTTTATCTAGCTTGTTAAAACAAGTTACCATCAGAGTCCAGTTTTCTTGTTTTTTTTTTTTCCAAACAGGTATCAGCAGAAACATTTTCTTTCATCAAGAAGCAGCATAAACAGTCTATGTTCAGTAGCAAGTGTCCCTGTTAGAGTGAGGTGAAGTGGTCAAACACAAGGTGTAGCGACAAGGTGGAAGAGAGACTGAACCTCGCTGTTTGTGAGTTTCCAGAATCTATTACTGTTTACTAAATAGGACATCAACAGCAGGGAATTCACATGGCAGAGTAGCAAAACTAGATGAAAGCCTATCAGGTAAAGTTATGTAGCCTATAATTTTAACTTAAGTTAAATAGGCTACAGCTGTGTAGCACACAGAAGCCGTTGCCATGGTTACTCTCCATAGAGTGCCTGCCGTTTAACTGTGTTCACGTGCAATTAAATAATTGTTGCGTTAATTAATCCTCCTTATTTTTAAAGTGCCACAGTTGGCAAGTATGTTTTTATGTAAACATGATTTGAGCAGCCTTTTATGTGCAGCTTTTTTCTGTCAATGAAACATGGGAATGAGGTACATTTTACAGACCATTGGGATCGTGTTGTGTGACTTTTTGATTGAATAGTGACCTTTTCAACATTGCTGATTGCCTTTTTTCTGTGTTCCACAGGACAGCAAAACTAAAACCTGGCCTCCCAAAGCGCCATGGCAGCACTCCACCCACACCAACACCATGCCCAATCCCAGCTCTTCCTTGTACCAGATGAACATCCCTCCTTCCTCGCAGTGGAGCGACTCCATGCAGATGCTGCAGTCTCCTGTATGGTCCACTGCTAGCGACTGCTCCCCCTCCACCGGCATCTCCTCTGGTTTTCCCTTCACCCAGCAGCAGCAGCAACAACAACAACAACAACAACAACAACAGCAACAGCAGCAACACAAACCCATGACCAAGGGCTTCAAATCCTTCCCCCTCAAACACGAGCACAGGCCCTCCTACCTTCACCAGTACTGATCACAGTCTAATGTTAAACAAGTCCATGGTGAAGTGCCACCGTGGGCCTTTAGCTCTGTAGATGAGCCACTGAGTGGGCCTGCGCTACAGCATTAGAGTCCACACCCACTGAATTGGAAGATATCAAAGCCACAGAGGCAAAATTAAGTGTACACACTGGCTCAACATTTTTGTATCTATATTTTTCCATGTTAAACATCCCCATTTGAAAAAGAGACGTATTTTGAAGTTTTTTGAACTGCCATGTTTTAACTACAAAAAGGTGCATGTGTCATGCCTGCAGCAGTTAGCCTAGCGGTCGTTTCTCTGTCTGATGAGCTGATAACTCCTCAGACAAGAGCTGGAGACGTGCACGGCCGCCACCCACTTGCTTCTGCAGCTGAACTGTGCGCGTAAAGGAGGGGATTACAAGGGGGGGCAGGGGCTTGAAATGCTCTCATTTTGCCCATAATAAATATACTGTGTCTACATAGCTGTAACTGCCAAATCTCACGCAAGATGACTCAGAATACAGCTATCATCTACTGTTTCATAGCTTGTAAAATACTGAAGTTGAAATATAAATATTTAGTTCTTTTTATTCAGAGGCTTTGAGCAGGCTCAGCATACATATAGTAAGTCACTGCAGAGGTGTAATTTGAGAGAAATACACTACTTTTTCAACAACTGACCAGAGTTATTAGATAGAATTATAGCAGTAACAATGTGCCATGTTGGTATTGATAGCACTTGCAGAATATTATTTCCAACCAAAGCGTTGTTCAGAAGATGAATGGTGCTGAAGAAAAAAAGAGGCGGTCTGAGATTATTGAGCAACAGTGAAGTTATAACACCCTATTGGATGAGAGCATTCGGGAATATCTTCACACCCAGAAGCGCATTTATTTCCTCCCCTCTAATTGGCAGTTGTTTGCTCCAGATTGACACTAACTCCCATAAACCTAACTTTTCTTCTGTTTATTAATACAATATTTTTCTTGTACACTTATTGACAGTATTAATCTTATTTTTGTATTTTCTTACATGTTATATCATTACTGTATGTTAGTATTCTTGTAGGCATATTACATAAAACATTATTTCCCACCTCCCAATATGTGAAAAAGCACATTTTTCTCCTACAGAGTTGAACTACACCATCCACCTATAAAGGTTACCAAATATGCCATGCTAAACACTAAAACATTGTGTGATGAGGGTGCTTTCGAGCCCTTGTTTCTTCGGTTTCTATGGCAATGGGCTGTATTTAAAAGCCCAGAATGTTATCTTTTTGTGATGTTTGCGGATGCCAATGTTGCCTGTATTTATGAAATGACACCATGTTTTCAGAAAACTAACATACTTAACATGTTTACAGAGACTTGTTTGCTGTATATACATATAAATATATATCTTTTTATAGTTAATGTGCTTTGCACAATCAAGATATAGGGTTTGTTGCTTTTTTGTCTGTGTTCTCTCCCTAACTGTTGCAGCCTTTTTTAAAGACATCCTTACAGACCTTGGACTGTAACTGTTAGCTTCTCAGCTGTGTCAAATGGTTTACTAGTGGCTTCTACAAAAGAGAAAAAATAATAAAAACACGTTGCCCTGATAGAAGATATGAAGGGGGACTGCTTGGCTTATGTTGCTTATTGTTCTCTTGAGCTGGCAACTGAATCTTTCCAAGTGTACCAGCAATGCAAAAAATGAATAAAAATGACTAGCAATTCAAAATGCTGTCTGTAGTTTTTCTGCTGAAAAGTAGATCGCTTTCCTTTCTGAATGCGAAGATGTTCAATATGGGAACATGTTGGGTAATGGGGTTTCTGAATTGAGGGACAACATAACTTTAAAAAACATTTTAATGTACAGTTGTTAATTCAGATAATACTAAAAACATGACATTATGAATTCAAAGTTTTTCTCCACATGTGATACACACATTATAGGATTTATGAACAGAAACACCAGGATCCTGGAATGGTAACATTACTAAACACAGTAATAGTTACTAAATTTTCCTGTGGTGTCACAAACTTGACCGACCATCCCAACTGCACTGACAAGCTGCCTTCATCATTTTCCCTGCCCGTTCACATTTGGTGTGGAGGCCGAGGTTGCATTAGATGTGGACTGGAAACAGAAACAATAACGGAGTATTAGGAATAGGCAACTAGTTAACAACACTACTAATTTCGAGATACCCGTGGTTGGTCTTTACATTTGTAGAGGGAGGCATGTTGTCTGGGCTGGCATCCGCTATGGTTGCCAGGTAGACTATGTTGCGGTGCAGGATCTGTTGGTACCTGTTGGAAAAGCACAAAACCACAGCAGCTGTAAATACCCAGTGAAAGAAACAACTTGCACACAGTGTCCAGACACGCTGCATTACGGTTGTTTCGACTTACTGAACACACTCCACTGCTCGTCCTTTTTGCATGTATTCAGTGATGCATCTAATTAACTGGTCGTTTTCATCCAGCAACTGGGAGAGACGAAACAAAGCATGAGCCAACTTCAATAAGCAGTATCTAATATGTGGATTTTAAGGATAGAAACAATAAAGCCACTGTGTGCAACACCAAACATTTTCACGACGTACAGTACTAAATCTACCATGCTGTTCGGCACACATGGAGCCTGTATGTCTGTAAACGATGAGTGAATGAAAGGATGAACTAGTAAAGTAAGTAGCTAGTGGCTAGTTGCTACCGCTGGCGCCACTGGTGAACGCACAGGGATATTTAAGCTAACAGCTAGTTAGCCGCTTCGTTAAACATCCTTTAGTGGTGTCTTACCCTTGTATTGTTTCTTGGTTAATCTTCGCCTTTCCTCGTAGTTTCTTTGGCACAAAAACAACAGACATGTTTGTGTAGCCACAGTTGATTTACTTGTTTGTGTTTACAACAGGGGGCTTCATCTTTTGCACTGTCTTCTTCGTCGATTGTATTGATCGACGGCCGTGTCACCTCCGCCCCCTCCTGGAGAGCTGCAATATAGCAGCCGTGAACAAAAACAACAAAACCCCGCGTGTCTTAAATTATCTGTTTCACTTATTGATACGGCCCGTTATTTCAACATAGCTATGTTTACTCAAATGTTAACATGGCAAAAATGTGACTTAATCCAAGTTTTTTCATAATATGGATTATTTGATTTGATTTACCGGACACGACTTTTCAGCAAGCACCACAGTCTGTCCAATATTTTACATATACTATGTTCAATTACTTTGCTTATACAAATACTTAAATCAGCTATCACATTTTATCTCCAGAGGATAACATTTTGCATGCTGAACAGTCAAGGAACTGTCAGCTTGTGCCACCCTCAGGCCAAAATGTAAATACTGACCCAGGACCAGCTATGACCCCTCTGTGTGATTAATCCGATTAACAGCGGCTCTGTCCCATTGTGTATTCTGTTATTGTGCAGGGACTGGAAATAGGTAAAGGCACACACACGTCTATAAGGTCCCATAGCTGACGGTGCATGTCAGAGCAAAAACCAGGCCATGGGGTGGAAGGACCTGTAGGTCTCAGAAACGATACAAATCCTTGATGAAAACCTGGTTCAGAGCTCTTGGACTAGGCTGAAGGTTCACCTTCCAACTGGATGACCCCAAGAACACAGCTAATGACACACGACACTCATAGGTCATACACAAGGCGGCGCAAGGCTGTAATTGCTGCCCAAGGGTCTGAATACCTTTGTCACAGTGATATTTCAGATTTTTCTTTTTAATACAATTGCAAAACCTTTTTAAAATTGTGTTCTTGCTTTGTGTAGGCCACTGAGTGTGGATTGATGAAGGTAAAAATAATTTTAGCATAAGACTGCAAGTTAACAAAATGTAAAACAAGTGAAGGGTGCATGTGGAAGTAGTATTTTGTTGATTTAAGAAAAAAATAGACATGGTTATTGTTCAACTCTTTATTTTCCGTAAAAATTCAATTTTGCCGATATTCTCAAGAAAACAATTACTGGTTTATAATTCCAGTGACTGGAAGGAGTAACAAACATGAAAACATGTCAGCTTTCAATAGTTCAGTAATACTTTTTGTCTCAAATTAAACATTGCTGGCCGTTATGAAAGCCCATATTAAAGTGGTGGTTCCTAAGGCTATCATGCAGTGATCAGCAATCTGTGCAATATCCAGTTAAACAGCACATTTTAAACTGGACTGCTTCATCCTAAACAACCACAGCTACTGAGTAGGATCTAGTTTCACCTTGTAGTGCTATCAATACTTTTGTCAAAAGGTAACCTTTAAGTTAAAAGGGAAATCTGTAAAAAAAAAAAAAAAAATCACCACTTTGAAGGCAAAAGTACTCTGAAGTCCCTAAAGTACTAACAAATGAGAAAAAAATATTCCACCTCCCAACACACTGGCACCACATCCAGTTCTTTTGTTCACAAGTCCGTAATAATAATAATAATAATAATGATAAATTCACTCCAGAGAACATCACATTGACAACAATGCAACAAAAGAGGAGATACAAACAAGCCAGAGGGCTGATAATTATCAGACATTTTGCCATTTGTATTGAACATTTTGAGACATTCAATCCATTTACAAGATTCCCATTTTCAGTAAACAATCCGTACAACACTGCAAGTACTTAGTTTTGCAGTGGCAACAGCTGACTGTAGAGACAGTGGATAATAACTATGCATATGACACAACTGTAACACAATTAAAAAGGACGCTGATAACAGAAAAAGAACATGCTTTAACAGACGGCTCAGTATGTTTGGGACACAGGAAGGTAGATTCAACAAGCACTAAAATGAGAAAACACGTACTTACTGGCTGTCACTTATTTGAGATCAACCAAATGCTTACATGTTGTTTTTGGCAGGACAGCAAAACATGTCTGATTCAAATCTAACTTGTTCAAGGTCATTCTGACTGCAGGTTTTAATCGAATAAACTCAAGGCTTTCCTCTCGTAAGAACTTCAGGCATTAATAGCATCGGATGTTCCTCTTTCACAGACACAAATCATGGGAATGCTCTTTGATCAACTATATAAAAACAGACTTAGAAAGAAAAAAAAAATCTAGTTATCAAAGACTTCTAAAGCTAATGCTGTAAACCCCATATATCCATCAACAACTGGTTCCTATTGATCATTAACAGGCCTGTGGACGTCCAGCTACGAACGTAAAGCAGAAACAGAATTCATTTGATGAGGGAGGTTTGAGGGATTCTAAATACTGAATGCACATTTCTAAAAACTAAACTAAAAGTCTGTCTGGCAAGCCACAATTTGCTTGGGGGGAGGGGGGGGGGTCACTAAGCAGAAGATGAGCTAGTTATACATTCATTCATAGTGAATTTCAGTTCAGATTTTGTTTCTTTAAGCTGGCATTGATCTTACTACTTCATTGAGAATGAATGCATGTTCAAAACAAAACAAAAAAACATTTCCCGCAAACTGGATAAAAATGCTGAGCACACAGCAACCACACTAAGTAAGTCTGAGCAGAGAAACATGGTACAACAGGCAGTGCTGTGAATTTTGGTGCCAACATACAACATATCAAAAACTGAAAGAAAATAAAAAATAAAGCTATGATCACATGAACTGTGACCCACTCACAGTATCCGTGGGATTACATACAGCTTTTATTATCAAATACAACTTCAGTAAGAAATGAACTTGATTGATGCAAAAATACAGAATTACTCCAAAGCAAGGTATTTACACACGTCGTCAAACTGGTGACTGGGGCAAAAAAACAAAAAAGCCTAATTCTCAAAGCGGAGAAAAGGGAGCTGCACTCTCACCCCCTCGTGTAAAGCAGCCAACCCTAGTGCTGGTGACTGCATTCTTTCTGTCAAATGTTGAGACCAAAGCATTTCTTCAACAGGAATAATTTCATGATGAGGGGCTACAAATCTTTGTGGATCCAATGCTGCAGTACTATGCAGCCACCTTGTTATCCTTCTGGAAAATAAAACAACAGAAGTTGAGAACGTCTTCTTATTTTTTTCCTACATACAGGAGGAAAGTGTCTATATGAGCTTTTAAAGCTGATAGATTTACCCTGTATTCAAAGTCAGAGAAATCCCGGCCTCCTCTGCCACCTCTGAATCCCTCTCTGAAACCTGGTGGAGCACCCCGGGGTGGCCCAAAGGAGCCTCTGCTCAGCGGTCGCCCTCGGCCTCCACGGGGCCCCATGAAGCCTCGGCCACGGAAACCCCCTCTTCCTCGATTGTGTCTCAGAGGGATGCCGAATGTCTCAGAATTCATTCGCCTCTCTTCTGCCCAGGTGGACCTTCGCTCCCTGTGACACACACACCAATCAGGATCCATGTTTTTGGATAACACATCTCACCAAAAAAAGAAACTGCAGGGTAAAATTTTGGCGTTCAATTTGATCATATCCCGCAAAAATGTTTTTTAAATAATAATCAGACTAAAGACTATGAATTGGTGTATTGATGTGTCTCTGCAGAAAGAGGTTTATGTTGATGCTGTAACAATGTGCAGGCCACTGTGCAATTTAGCACTCACTGAGGCACGGCTCTCTCATTCAACTGAAAACTAAACACTCTGAGTCTTTGTGTACTTTGTTATGCAATACGTTACAGGTACATTGTGCAGTTTTATGGTTAACAAAAATTGCCAAAGTATGTGCAATCGCCACCTCTGTGTCTGCGTAACATGTAGAGCCTTGATAGACTGGGTGCATTGGGTACATTTAAAACTGTACCAAGTGAACAAAACACTAAACAAATGTTGCCCTGATAAAGTCAGAATCCAAAAAGTGTTTGCGCATTCATGTGCTTATTCTTCATAATATAATAAATAACTTTCATTCTAAGTTTCGGAGCCATTCACCCGAGGTGCCTCGCTCAACACAGCTAAGAGTGTCTCCTTACCTTGAAAATCCTCTTTCACCCGGTTTACTGAAAGAGATAAAAACAAGTCTTTCAGTGCATTAATTGAGTATAGTTCACTCAATCTTTTTCTCATACTGTCCTCTGCCTCACTGATTACAGTACAAAAACCAAACTTTAGTCACGGACTTTGGTGAAACTACATCATATTTTATGGAGGAACTCTTCTGGTTTTTCCCCTACGTCCTTTGCCTCAATCTTTGGTGATATGCGTTGCAGCTCAGTCCAACGCCCCCTGCCAAAACACTTTGCTGGCCAATCACATTTTTTTTACCGAGTAATCGTCCCAGCACAGACCCTTTATTAAATTTAGTCCCACAATTAAACAACAATTTGAACTGTGGACATGTTGAGGTACCTTAAATCACCACAGGACAGGTTATCAAAGAAAGACTTGGACTTGTCATAGTATGTGTTAATCACAGCCTCCTCCTCCTCAGTGGTCCCCTCATTGGCCGGATGTTCTGAGTCAGCAGTTTCTTCTCCATTCAGCGCCTTTTCAGTCTTGTCATCTGTGGTTATTTTGGAAGGAATAGTGTAAAGAATTAAACACCTTAAAGACAAAGTCACCTAATAACAATAAGGACATTGAACAATGTGGTGCCCTGTACGCTCGGTGAAATTGGAAATGACATCACAGTAGCACAACTGCTGTGCACGAACACATGGAGTGAAATTATCCCGGAGAGCTTAGTCAAGACGGCAGAGGCAGCTACGCGTTAAAAGTCCTGCACCGCTGCTGTCATGGTAACTTAGTGTAACACCATGTGTCATGTAAAGTTTGACAGTTTTATATTTTCTGTTTTACGCCATGTACGAGTAAGAAATGGTTACATTACAGACTGTTGTTAAAGTCTGTAAATCGTTTCAGTTATTTTCTTTGGCCCACACCGACTTATGTTATTGCAAAATACTCTGGTGATGGAATTAATCCACATCGTAACTATTTTAAGGTTTAAGTCAAGTACTTCAGTAAAAATACTGGCTCTCCCGTTCAGGGAAAAGGCTGACATGCAGTGTTTAAATTAATCTGTGTCACAGCAGGTATTTTCCTGATCAGGCATCTGACCAATGGGATCTGTTGTTGTTATTATTATCATCATCTGTGTTTCAGACCATAAAGCCAATGGAACTGATGAAAAAAGTCCTGCACTGGTGAAAAAACCCCACTTGTAGCTGGTGTCAGTGTCTTATCATCAGAAGAAAATGTCTATGTGAGCCAACGGAAATGCTGAAGAAGATTTCTCTGTTAAGTTCTGGCAAGTTTCCCGTCGTTGCCCTTTAGGACTCAGTGTGTTGAAGCCGTACCTTTCAGTTTGAGCTTGTTCTGGAGCTCTTTGTCAATCTCATCTTTGTTGAATTGGGCGTTGGCAGTCTCAAAGTCAAAGTCTTCTTCAAACTTCATGGGGCCATCTCTACGCACATTTACTTTGCCTCTGCTGCGGTTTCCTCTTCCACGGCCACGGCGAGTGGACTGAGCAGCAGCTGAGAAATAACATGGGAAAAGTGAAATTCAGCAACACTCCAACAAGCAACATCTTGCCCTACTGTGCAACCAAACCTATTGGGAGAGTGCTGCACTAGCTTTATACTAAAGCACACATTTATAATGAAACCATGCCTTTAAAGATTTACGTGCCGACTATCCGCTTCAATTTGAAGATGTTCGAGTAGGAACTGCAGCCCTTTCAGTATCTCAACACCCAAATTCTGCCCAAGTAACTGAACAAATTAACATAAAGTCAAAAACAGTAAGGTAATCAAAATGTAATATTTAGATGCCGATCTTCCACCACATTCAATCCAATGTGTCACTGTCCAAATATCTTTTGATGTGATGAAGATAAGAAGAAGGCAGATTTGTAAACAAACTTCAAATCAAGGGAGATGTGAAAATAAAATGACAAATGACTTGTTTGTCCTCAACACATTCATATTACATCTATCAATACAACTAATCAATACTTTAGTGGATGTAATTAAGTCTGTTAATAAGTATTATGCAATGACGTAAAATGACTCACCGGCGTGACGCTGGTTAGGATCCCGGTTTTCAACAGCACCTTGTTCACCTTCTGGCTGTGACACCTTCTGAACCTCAGGAGCTGGACAGCAAAGGGCGCCAGTTACCATCAGAGTAATACATGGTTAAATGGGAACGCTCAAACAAAGCACTACGTGCATGAGCACACAATGGTTAACCAACCTGCTATAAATACTTTGACTACTTCAGACACAGTATAAATTCTTCTGTGTAGAAATGAACCACTATAAGCCCAGCAGGTATCTTTACCTTTTCTCTGCTCTAGGAGGTCTGGGGGTTTCTGGCTACCAGCGGCGGTGCTGGTGGGTCTGGAGGCTGCTGCCCCCATCTGACTCCTCTGTCCTACAGGTGCAGGCGGTGCTGGGGCAGCTGACGGTGGGGCCTGCACTGTCTGCTCCAGGGTGGAACTTTTTTTTAAAGGATCAGGCTGGGGACTAGTGCACCCTGCAGGAAACAGAAAAGTGAGATTCAAGCGATTTTCTTGAACGTAGAGGCAGCATAGTTTGTCTTTCAGCAGCTGACAAAGGCCATCAGAGTTGATGTTGAGTGATATAACACAAACTAACATGACGTGAATGTGGCAAATACCTGGAAATAATTAATATAACTCTAACCAGAAGATTCATCCATTATTTTGGCAATTGACACTGAATATTTAATAAGGTCTGCTAAATGGCCCATAAGCCAAGTTTCAGCAGAACAGTTTATAAGAAATATGTTGTATAATTATCTCCACTAAGCCCAGTTCAATACATAATGTGTTCAGGTGCACAGCAGGAAACTCAAGAGACGACAAGCTGCTGTGCTCTGTTCAAATAAGCAGGAATCAGGTGTTGCTCCCAATTTGCCTGAGAAACAGATGCCTTGCCTACGAGGCTTGTTTGAAATTTGTTCAACTGTTTGAGTAGTCATTAGAAAGGGCTTACACCAGGGGCCTCCAACCGTTTTTCCTCACAGCTAATTTGGAAAAATGAAAGTGGCAGAGAGCTACTCGTGTTTTATATTATTATTAGTACATTTATTCCCATAGCTGATCTCCACCCAAACCAGCCGAGTAAGCTTCTTTTGTGTAAACATTTATAAAATGTTGACATCCAACACTCACATTTTGTATCAAAACATCTTTAATTCAGCAACATGTCCATTTTTTTTCTGTATGCGTTTCTTTTCATTTTAATATGGCACTGCATGGAGTCAACAAAAGAGCTGTTTCCACCTATGTTCACTCTTTTAAATTTTTATCTTCCACTCTTGTTCTGAACTTTGATTTCATGACATTCATGTCCGAAAAAGGTATGTAGAACCAAACAAAGCAGACATTTTTAGGGCTTGGTGAAGGTTCTTATAGTTTTCTTGCTCTACAAGGTTCCAGAAAGGCTGTTGAGATTTTATACCTGTACCTCCATGATTAGTACAGAACAGCTCAGCCACATGTCCTCAACTCTCACCTACATCATGAAGGGTTTGGCAATAAATGTCACACAAGTTTCTCAAAGTCACTGAATTGTTTTGCAAACTGCCGTAGCTAACACAATACTTTTGTACATTCAAAACATTGGCTTTCCATCATCTTTGAGACTGGACAAGTGCTGACACCTTGTTTTTCCATTTGGCTTGAATGTCACATGACAGTTGCTTTGAATGCCTTAACAGCACTGTTGGTATCACGTTTTTATCTTAACGTTGTAACTGTAGGCACAACTCATTCAGCTTCTCAGTTACATCTGTCAAGAACATGAGATCAAGAAGACCCTCAGCATCAGACTACAGAGTGGTGTCCTCCTCCCTTGATCTCACTCAGCAAGGAAAGAAAGTGCTGTGGTATCCCACCCTTGCTTAATCACCTGATTTCAGTGTGGAGAATGAGATCTCCAGCTTCTGTGTTGCTTGGCCTCGAATGGAGCTGATAATCTGAATAGGTTTTGTGACCTTATTAAACGTTGATGAATGACACAAAGCATCTGTGCAGACACTCTCCTTGCCACAGTATTAACACCAAGTTGCATATTGGCAATAGCAGACATAACTTCTATCTTACTTTTAAGCTCCTTAAAAAATGTTTCAGCCACCGCAGCCGAAAACTCTTTTACAATCCCGCCACTGGTGAAGGGCTTTTTGTGCTTTCTTAGGATGTGTGCCACTTTAAATGAAGCCTCTGTTGTTGACATTAATCTACTATGGCAAGTGGTTCTTAAACACAGTGCTCTGAATACAGAATTAGAGCTAGGTTATACAGGCACAATTCATTTCACAATACCTAGATAAGATTTGTGTGCCAACTGATTCATACAAGCACTGCACCGACATGCAGTCCCATGCACTAGTAGTTCAGCAAGTTTCACTTAACTTTAAAAAGGTTTATCTTTCATTATGTATAGTAGGGCTGCAGCTAAGCACTATTTTGATTGTTGATTAATCCATCGATTATTGAAATAAATGATCAACTATAGGGATTATGAATCACAAAATGACTCAATGCCTCTTATTTAGCTATCAGCTTTAAAATTTAGCTTGAGGTTGTTTTAGGCATTTGCTAATTACCAAAGACAAGAAAATAAATACTGATAAATGATAAACGGCAGGTATATACAGTAAGAAAATACTGTGTGTGCTACGGTGCGCACTGCACTCATCTGTGCAGCGGATCTGAGGTTAGCAAGTCAAACCATTTATCTAGTGAGAGTAGCTTACACGCTGGGACAAACTGACAATATTTTTATACAAAGAAAGGAATAACTTAATGTATCACATCTGCTGAATTTATAAGAGGGGGCATATAATCCCGAATTTGTTATTGACAACGTTTCCCCTATCTCAACAACTCACAGGACTACGTGTTTTTTTTTTTTTTTTTTTTTTTTAAAAAGGGACTCAAATAACTTCAAATAACTCACCTTATTTGCTACTCTCAACACCATTAACAAGTCAATGATCAAGAGAAAATATGTAGAAAACGTTACAGCTCATAACGTGAAGTAACATGGCTTTTAACATTAAGCTGGCTAAGCTTACCGAGACGAGAATGGTGCCCGTCTTGCCACTTGAAAAAAGTAATCATCCAAGTTAACAATTTGTTGCCTTTATTTTTCTCATAAAGAGTAACCATATCACTGTGGTCCAACAGGAACCATCTTCACAGCTCTCCTTTGTGGTGAATCCTGTGAATCCATACAGTAAATAGACACTTATTTTGAGCAAGAACTAATTCTTACCTCCTGCTCCAGCAGTTCCAAACTGCTGAGCTGCAAGGGATGAAACACCGAACTGGCTGTATGGTGCGACAGGGGCCCTGCTGTATGGGGCATAGGACCCAGCCGACTGGAATGATGACGATGCTGCAGCATTGGTGGATCCAATGGATGACTAAAAGACAAATATACAGTCAACTGAAAAACCATGACAACACTGACTGTCAAAAACAGCACTTTCACATTTCAAATGAGTTACTTGTTAGATAATAAACTAATTTTTTTTTTTATATCTATTCATTTCAGACCACTGGCATGGATAAAATGTGACTTTCACTATCACAGTTGCAAATGCTGCGGCAGTCCGCTATACGCCATTTCTACTGCTATTAACTATTTTGTGAAAAAGCTAGAGCATTCAGCAAAACTCACCAATATACAAGACGGTTAATGATTATTGACACCATGAAAACAGAAATGATTATAAATGAAGAAGATCAACACATTTGACCCCTGGAGGTACAACATTATTTTAGTACGTTGGTCTCAGCAAAAATGGCTCTATATGCAAGCGTCTATGCAAGTTATACATTTTTGTTGGATCAACAGAATCTAGACTCAGCTGTTAAACTATGCTGTTACCTCAAATTAACAGTGCAAGTTTTTAGTGCAAGTGAATTTTATATTTATACTTCATGAGCTAAAATGTGACTGGCTATGGCAAATCATATTCTTACTTAGTAATCAATAATATTAATTAACGACGGCTGAATTCTGAATAGGTAAGCTATTTCCAAAGCCCTTGTATCGTGAACGGCGGCATACTAGGAGACTTTAACGAAGAGGACTCATAATTAATGTTGTTAGATACACCTGTGCCTTTCCTGCAGTGACAAAAAAGGATTTTTTTTAAGCCTGCGCAGGTGAAGATTGGATTGTGTTTCAATATAACAGTAGTATTTTGACAAAATTCTCAAAAGGAGATACTGAGGTTGGGAGTTCTCATGTCTAAATACATAAGTGAAATTTTATGAAAATGCATCACTCTACTAAGTGTCCCACCCAGTAAGCCATGACAGTGTGACAGTGAGCCAGAACGCACAGAGCTCCCATGACTTTGATAGAAAATACACAGAATATGTGACAAACTGCCATTTATACAGCCATTTTATAGTACAAAAATGCATCCAAAATCAACTTACTTGAACTATGGCAGGGTCCTGAGGCAGGGTACTAGTGGCTTTGGGTGGCTCACAAACTGTTAGGTCTTTTATATCACTTCCCCGAAAGATGATGTACTCAAACACTTCCTCCCGAGGTGGAATAGGCCTGTCAGTGGGCCGGTCCTCCGTGCCAAAAGAGCGCACTGTTGGGAAAATTCACAGCATAACTCAAATGACACTACTAGTCTTTTTATTGAGGCCGAGTAGACCTGAGCTTTGGTGTAGATCATGCACTGGGCAACATATCCACATTTAACACTTCTGTCACAAGATAATGTACAGTGATAGGGATACACAATTGTATGGATAAAATGTATTGTATTTCATCTGAAGTTATTTTTGTTTGGTGCTTACAGTACACATGAACATGAAAAGACAGACATATATATATATAAAAAGTAATGAGATAAACAATTTATACAAAATTTACAATAAGACTATAATAATGACAAGTATGTGCATGTGCAAGTATTTTCATCTGTTCTTCATGGACAGATGTTAGGCATCCAACAATATAAAAATGTAATGACAACGACAAATGTCCCCAGAGTGACTGTTGAATAATCAACTATTACTTTACAGTGTGTAGCCAATATGCTTAACGTTAAAGAGCATTAAAGTGTGAGTTTGTTCACTTAACAGACGTTCAAAATAAAGACTGAAAATGTAACTTGGCTAATAACACGTAAATGAAACGTTATCGACAGATGTTTGGTAGTACACGGGATTTAGTAGCTATTACACCGTGTCTCAGTAACGTCACTCGGCAGTAAGGGCCACATAGTTAAGTGTAGCTAAACACAAGGTAAACAAAGGACGCAGAGTGGAAACTACGGCACCACTTAGCTATCACCGCTAGTTGGCTACAAAGCTAGCTAACACTGCTAACTGCGCTGAATATTTGTTTTCCATCGCTTTACACTTTATTAAGCCATGTTACAACCCTCCCCAAGTACCATAGTCCACCTCTTGGTTACTTAACTTACCTTTCGCAAGAGCTACTGTCGAGTTTTCTGTGTCAATGGTGTACAAAATTCCTTCATAGCGGATCTCGGCCTTGGAGATCAGGCTAATTTTGCTGCCGATGTATGGAGTTCCTCCTCCGCTCATGTTTGTCCTCCGATTTTAATAATTACTTCCACAGAAGCAGTTTTCTGTCAAACGAAAGGTCAGATGTGTTACTTTCAGAGCTGTAAGTGAGTTGCACCGTGAGTCACACTCGCTTGTTTCTGAACAGATTTCTACCACGACATGGCCGATTTCATTTTCCTTCGCCCGCCGCTAAGGATGCTGGGATAAAGGCCGTGTCTTGTTCTTTAAAGTTGCCTCCTCTTCCTCCCACTTCTCACAAATGAAAATGGGTGATTTCGCGAACACGTGGTGAATACAGTAAAATGACGATTGCACATGCGGTGCTGTTCATTTTACGATGATTTTTTGAGGAAGAAAATGACTCACTACTATCATAGGATGCTGAAGGTTTGAAGGTTTGAGATTCAGCCATTCTATGATATCGCGATAGTACAAAGGCTGCCCCCCTCTTGCTCCATCCTGCCCCCATATTACCAGATTATACATTTGTCGATGTAGAAAATGTTAGTATACCACATAATTTGTTTTTGACACATCACATTGGACGATTTTTCATTATGAACCCCGAAACGTCGACACCTACAAAGTATGTCACGGGTGCCACATATTCTACTGTGGGTTTGTTATGTAATTACACTAATATAACCGTCCTTCATTATACTCTATACCTCATTATAAATTACATTAGAAGAAAAATCAAGAAAGCTAGGATGTCCCCCTCATCTAATGACGTCAGATGCATTCCCACAATGCCTGGCAACACGCAGGCGCAGTGTAAAAAAAAAAAAAAAAAAAAAAAAATAGAAGACAGCTATCTGTGATCAGAGATGGCGGGCGCCTCCGACCCCCTGGAAGATATGCTCTTTTCAGAGGTGGATGAAAAAGCTGTGAGCGACCTAGTGGGCTCATTGGAGTCACAGCTTGCTGGCCAAAGCAATCCGGCTGGTAAAACAGACGAAAACGGAGGCGCTGGCACAGTGGCCCCCGCTAACCATCACTTAGGAAAAACGCTACCAGCTCCACTGGACACCACAACACTAGAACAACAACAACAAGGACGGCGTAATAAACCTGAGATGCGCCAGGAGATCAACTCTAAAGACATCAGCCCGGATAAAACTGTCAAACCTCCGTCTCCGGGCTGCACCCCTTCTTTTGGCGAGCCGTCCGCCACTTCGGCTGCCGGTGTGAACGCCACCTCCAGCGGTTCGCAATCACATGGAGCATCCATCACAACACTGACTGCATCTGGGCTGTCAACTTTGGCATCTCCGCCTGCCAGCATCAGCACCGCATCCAGTCGGGACTCTAAGGTTACCCCGGGCACAGGTGAGACGTCGACGGAAGCTAACCCGCCGAGAAAACGCATGAGCACACCGCGGAGGAGCGCTTCGGCTCGGATAAAGAGTTTGAACGGTGCAGCTGTGACGACGAGAAGGAGCAGCACCACCGCGGTGGCTGAAAACGTTAGCTCTGTGGAAACCGGTGCAACTAACGTTACACCAAACTCTACTCGGCCGGGGACATCCTCTATCAACACTTCGACTTTCACCTTATCTAACGCTAGCCTCCCTGTAGGTCAGTCTGCTATTGCACTCGACCGGGGGACTCCTACCATTGCTTTACATAGACTCCCCAATCATATTGTAGCGAGCATATCCCAGAACGGGAACGGGACCAGTGTTTCGGCCTTGGCCCAGCAGGGCGCTCGCATAGGACCCATCCCCTCTTCAGCTTTACAGGGGAACCACAGCAAAACGGTCACAGACACTGGGGCTTCCAAAACAGACGATTGTCAGTCCAAAATTGTAATGTCAAGCCAGTCTGGTGGTGTCAATTCTGTAATAAACACTGTTTCCCCAACGCCTTCTGTTGTTACACCAACAACAACCACAGCAGCAGCTACAACAACCACAACAGTAACCCAGCCTCTGAGCTCGGCCACCACTGCGGCTTGTGTTACAGGGGTGGCAACAGGTTCTGTGTGTGGAGCTGGTCAAACAACATCAGTGACTACCACTATTAGCGTGGTCAGGCCCACAGCCCCGTCTCCAACACCTGCTGTGGCCACCACTGCCCAGTCTCAACCCCGTCCTGGACTTACAGCACCTCAAAGGATCGTAGCCCCCCAGCTGATTGTCAGACCACCTCAACAGCAGACGACCATTCAGCTGCCCCCTGGGTTTACCATTCCACCTGGTAAGGTTTGCAGGAGGGGGAGGAATGCAGCAAGAAGTTGCCATTTATGCCTGTGTTAAAATAACCTTACCGGAGGCTCATGGGTTTAGTTGTGTTTGTTTGACTGTCTTCAGTATGAAGAGGCTGTGTGTGTGACATCCTGTTTCATACCATGTTTGTCTGAATGTCTTTCCAAGTTACCCTGCGTACATATTGTATGTGCTACAGGGTGGTGCCTGCTCCAGAGGTAATATATGCCTTTTGATATATGCTTTTCTTAATAGTCACTTTAAGCATGGGTGGCGCCATGGGGAATCCAACACTTTACCCGGCAATGTAAGCGCTATGATGTGCCAACTGAGCCCTGCAAAGTTTTACATTTACACCAAGCATCATAACATGACATTAATACCACAATTGTGAAATTAATAATAAGAAATATAACAACACATACACGAAGTTTGCAATGAAACTGTGTCAAATAAAATCTGTACATTTCAGTAATTTAACTAACGCTTAAGTATTTGAATTAAGTCTACATAAGAGATCAAACAATAAAACCATGTAATGTGCGCATGCCGTCACAGCCCAGGGCAAAGTTCACTCTCTTTCCAATCAAATCATGAAATGTGGCCACCAACGTATTCACACACATTTCCAGGCATTTGAAGGTTTTTCATGTAGTTCGGTAAATGTCAGCTACTCTCATGACGTTTAAAACATTTGTATTGATCCTCATAGCATTTACAAAAATAATAATAGAAAGATTTTAAAAATATGTCTTTACATCAGTACAAACACATCAACAACTTGTAATGATCACCATTGGTGCATAAAGACAGACAAACATATACTGTGGCTAGCATACATTGCTAGCAACTAAAGTCCTTCGAAGTACTTCAGATACAATAGCTCGTACTTTTCATTGGATTTTAGTGAATAACATTACTACTGCTCAAGAAAAAGCTACTTTATAAGCGGAGTCCTGTTGCCCTCCATACATAATTTGTTTTAGTGTTTTTTAGTTACTGTAAGAGAAGCTAGGCATTAACAGGAAAATGTTCTGCTTGTGCCCCTGCCTTACATACTCATCCAATTAACTTACATTACAAACATTAATGCTTGCCTAAATAAACAAGCAGAAGTGTACGGAAGCACTGAGAGGCAAGAGAGGAAAACATTTCTGGTGATCCATTTCCTAAGTCTGATGTAAATTGTTTTCTCCCCTTTGGTGACAGGTGACAAAAAAAGTTGTGTCAAGTTAAAAAAAAAGTTTTACCAGGTTAAAAAAAGAATTTTTCCAGGGTTTTCAAACTTTTTTTTGCGCCTTTGAAAACCTGAAAAAAACTTTATGCAGGTGAAAAAAAAAAAGTTGTGGTCAGGATTAGTGTTTGTTGTTGTAATATTCATTTTAGCCACAAAGGGCTGAAGTGCACCACTACCCCGTGTTCTAAAAAGGACTAAAATCATTCATGTCTTCCAGGTGAGTTTTAATTTCTCCATACATTCTACACACAAGGTACATTATGTAACATTACTATCATGTACTGTCATTTTTCACTTGCCTCTTATGACTTCCGTAGAGTTCCTTTACAGATACTTGTATTTTGTCACCCAATTTACCTGGTAGCCAACCTCTATGAAGTTCTTACTGTGTAGTTTAGTAATAATGGCAGGAAATAAACTGTGGACAGTGGTTAGGAGGGTTTGAGTACTGCCCTGCTGCCCTGAGTCAGCTCACATCAGGAAAAATTACTCAGTCAGATAAGAGAATGATCAGAATATGCTATTAACCTTTCACCATTGTTCACCTCATGTCTTTTTTTTACTTTATGGAAATCCTGCAATGATAAACAAATGTGTAATAAAACATTTTATCTTGACCTGACATGGGCAACGTCACAAGCGTGACATTGTGATACAGCAATCTTAGCCTTTCAGAAATAGCAAAGAGTCTGCGTAATTAGCTCATGATCACAGCTTCAACTAATCCTAAACCTTAGACTGTCATTTATGCAGTAGTCTGATACTCAGCACAGTCTAGATTAACTTGGAATGTTAATTTGAGGAAGTCACATTGTGAGCAGTGTTGTAGTGCAGTGAAATAAACAATAATACGTGATGGGTTGTCCAGATCTATGAAAATAACAGATGAGGTGCAGTACGTTGTTTTCTATGTTAGGATGCCTCACATTTAGACCATGTGCTCTTACAACAGAATAAGATCACCATTTTGTTTGTAGTCAGATTAAGGGCTGTTAGACCTTGGTATCGTTCACTTTGTGCAGGACATATAGCACAAAGCAAACTACTGCTGCTATGGTTAACTGCAATTTAATATTACTTAATGCCTGATTTAAGGACAGTGGTTAAACATTTGACTGGGACTACTTGTTTTACAATTTTAACAGACACCTTCCAACTAATTAGAAACAAGTGTTTTCAGTGCCCATTGTATAAGATCATTCACCGTTCAGTTATCATCCCTTCAGTCCACTTCACATAACATTTTTAATTAATAGTTTCTGTTTGTTGCCTCTCAAAAAACTGCTATGGATTTCCCATTTTGGAATTAGACTCTAATTTTCAGGTTAAACATTGCATTTCACTGGCTGCTTGTTTAGAGTATTTGTTTTAAATTGCTATTGAACTTGCCAGAGTTTTAAAATTCAAACCTCCCTTAAAAGCAGAGATACTTCTGTGCAAGCGGACAGTAGATTCCACAAACCCGTCATCAAAATGTATCTGAATCTGGCCAGTAGCTGGTTTAAATACCATTCAGTGACTGTGATGTTATAGTTTTTCCTCTAATGAATGTTCCCTGTGATTCTTCAGGCATGGTGTTGGTACGCACGGAGTTGGGCCAGCTAGTGATGGTTCCTCAGCAGGCTTTGGCTCAAGCTCAGGCTCAAGCTCAGGCCCAGGCCCAGAATAACATCTCTCCACGACCTGCCACCCCTACGACAGGAGCATCCTTCAGAGTAACAACTCCACAGGTGAGAGTCTGCTACAAAACCCGCATGGTAGCCGCCACCCGTAGGCTTTCCCTAATATTCAGTTCAAAGAACTTTATTTATCCGTTAGGAACTTCATTTGTGCTGAGCATCAGTGCGTGTACGGTTCCACAAACACAGCACAATATACCACACGCACACATTACATACAAGTAATAAACACTTCTAAGTAAATAAGTAAGTCAGTAAACTAGAGTAAGTCAGTATGACCACAGCACACAGCATTACTGCACCATAAAGTTTCTTTACAGCTAGACAAGAACAAGAAGAGGAGAAGTGAGCTGTGCTCCTCAACCCGGCATAACGGTTTCTGTTTCATTTATGTTTTCATTCACGAAACAGATACTTGATCATCTGATTTGTGGCTCCACACTTGCCTCACACACAATGGGCTTTACTCGTGAAGCATTCCTATGCAGAGATTTAATCTTAACATGGTGATTTTCATTTGGGTAAGAAGACATCAGTGTTCTGTCTCCTGAATTACATGTGGGGATATCTTCTTCTTCTTCTATTTTTTTTTTATTACAAAAAAAGAGACTAATAAAATTGACAGTAACAACTTAGTAGAAGAGAAGGGCTGCCATCTGCACCAACTGTAATTCCTTTGCTGAGGTAAAGATGTTGCAACATTGCAACATTAATGAATGAGACTTGGATCAGTAATTGGCCTAAAGGTATTGTCCAAAAATAGCAAATATTTATCAAATGCGTATTCCCTGTACTTGTCCATCACTGTCAAGTGCACGTATAATATAATGAAAAATAGCTATGTGTAACAAACAATTATCAACACTCAATGCATATAGGCTTTTACAGTATACAGGACATTCCCAAGTGAGTTTCACTAACTACTCCAGACTCCACCTGCGCAACACCACCTGGCAAAAACAGAACAGTGAAGTTAATTGTAAAGAACAAAGGATCATAAATTAATCATGCTTTATTTAGCTGATGCAGAAAAAATGCAATGGTCTGTTCAGATTCTGTGGATTGGCTCAATGCATGCCGGTACTTTTGAACCAATAATGCCACCTTTGCTTGTTTAGACAACAGAAAATCCAGAAACTATTTTGAGGAATATGCCGAGTCTCAGTATCCGTATTCCCCAGTGTGTGCTTTGTTCCTACATATGGAGTCAAATCTATTCTCAGATCTCGTGACAATAAGGTCTTGGGTATGAATCTCGACCATAGTTTATTCTGTATATGGTCTCTCCATGTTTGAGTGGATCTGCTCTCACACCAAAAGTATGCATGTTAGGTATCAGAAGTACAATTAGCCATTGCCCCTAAAAGAGGCACTGGCCTTAAACCTGGAGTTGGTCCCTGAGCCCAGTGCTGTGGCTGCCCACTGTCTCTAATAGTTAGTTACTAAATTAATTTCTCCATGTGTATGGTAACATGTTACTTTGATGTCAGTGATATACAGCTCCACTGGCAGTTAGCATGTCCTAGTTAAAGGGTCTGAATGCGTGTATGCACTTTTCTTCGGACTGAAAATGTATAATCTGCAGACACACCATTATTAGCTTGTAGAAACAGTCCAGCAGTAAGTGTTTCTGTTAGGGTCCAAACTAAAGAATCTTGTTCAGATTTAGCCGCAAGATATGGGCTGTCGGCTAGAATAATGCTGAAATACCAATCCTTTCTTTACTGTACTCTACTGTGTTTTGTCCACCACAGCCTGTGTTGCAGCGCTGCTTTGGGCTCCGATTGAGATCTCGGCCCAAAACAACTGTTATCAGGTCACCCCTACATATTACAATGCAGTTTATAAAAACCTCTTTGTGAACAATGCATTGTCAGAAAGCTGAAAACGCGCATTTTTTCTTAACTCAGAAAAAGCTGACATTTTGAAGATACATGGTTCTCACTGGACAGTGACGTTATATAGAACGGACTGAAAACTGGTTTATGTGTGAAGATAAGGAAGACTATGGACAGCTCCTGGTGCTGAAATTCAAGGTTTATTGGCTTCATACAGTACAGAATTGCATAGCAGATATTCAAATATTTAAATTAGAACATGATAAAAACAATAAAATAGGCAATGAAATAGAACAAAGTATATAAAAGTTGCACTAAAGGAAGAAATTAAAGGGAAAAACTAAATTATATTTAGTAGGAAAGATATACAGTTATGTATATACATATATACACACGAAAACATGTACAGTTTGTGCAATATCAGTGTAATATGAAAGTAATAGTGCAGAAAGACAACTTAAGAGGGAATGAGGTTAGTGCAAAGCTAATGGTATGATAATCTGTAAAAACAGAATACTTCCTTGTAAATAAATAAAGTTACTTTATTAATTAAATGTTAACTCAATGAACATATGAATAACAGATGAAAAATAAAATTTTAAGTTAATAAAACAATATTATTTTTATTGTAAACATATTTCATGAATCAGTATTTGATTAAAAGACACAAATGATGGTAAGATTATATTATTGACTAGCAGCTGTTTTGGTGCAAAGAAAACGGAAACACTTGTTTTACATTTTCCAACCATTTTTGAAAATGTTGCCATTTTATTTTAAACCAGTTACAAAAAAAATAAAAAAATAAACAAACAAAAGAATCCAAACCATACAGATGTTCGTATCCACTCCTGTAAACCTGTTTGTTTTTTTTTGAGAATATGATTGGCCTGAAGCCACGTGGCCATGTGCCCAGCCCATCTGTGTGTGGGTGCCCCATTGACTTATATGTATGTTGTCTTTGACATTTTTTAAGCTTTTTTATTTGTTTTTTTTTGCATCACATGCTTGAGTATGCTCTGTGGTGTGTTTTATGATCACCCTGATGAAAGCTACAAGTTGGAACGCGCTGGTAGACAATAAAGTTGTTATTTGTACTACAAGTGTTGCTGAAGTTTTGACCTCTTGAGACTTTTTCCATTCTCCATGCACGTTGGAAGTAGGTGAAGTTATGCCAGAAATCCCTACTTCACTTCTTTTATTTTACACAATGCAAAGGGCATCAACCTAAGACCTTCTTGTATGAGAGCAACCATGACTGAAAGTGTGACACTGTACACAGGCACGTTTCCTGTTTGCTGAATTTCTGTCAGTGTTAATGCCACCACTGGTGACCTTTGTCAACACTAATCCGACTGATTAAATTCAATACACACAGTTGATGTTGGGTAGGCACCACCTCATTAAGTGAACAGCTTAGCTCTAGACCCTAATTGGGATGTGATTAATATGTTAAACTGTGTAATTATAATGAATGATTATCCTTGATTATTTTACGTATAGATTAAACTGCAGTTAATAGGTGAATTAATGTCTCCTGGCTCCGTAATGACTCCATGGGGTCCTCTCATCAAAATTTAACGAGCCACTGAATCATTAATTGAAATTTGCTTATTATCACCTGTGGATACATCATTCATGTAAAAACTTGAGCTTGTGCTGCTGGGTCCACACCTTTGGAACTTAATTGCCTTTAATAATGAGATTAGTAGATAGTATGTCTCTCACAGTTTCTCTGTGAATCAAGTATGACAGCTGAAATGGCACAGATACATTTTTTTTTTAATTATTAGAGCACCGGAACATCTCTTGATTATTGTCTTATTGACCTCAGAACATACAACACTGACATAATTTGTCTGCAAGGTGTTTAAAACTGATTTGTTATGGTACATTTGATTCCTTTCGAATATATTGCATTGCAGTTCAATCCTGCTACATTGCGAATTGAAATTCAACATTGTTATTCAGTTCACTGCAGTGACATTATATCGGGTAGGGCTGCAATTAATGATTGGTTTCATTATAGATTTATCTACCAATTATTTTCTTGATAAATTGATTTACTTTCCTCTGTATAAATGATGTTATATTTCATCTTATCTTATAAAATGTCAGAAAATAATAAAACAATGCCCAGTGTAATTTCTCTAAGACCAAATTGAGTCGTTATTCATATTTAGTTTATTATCACAGAAGATGAAGAAAAAAACCCAATTGGTTAAATTGGTTTATTTTGCTGACAAGTTTGACAGTTTATTGAATCTTCAGCTCTAGAATCGGGAATACACATAGGTTTTCTAATAATACAATACTGGCTTTTAAATAACTGTTGGTTATAGTCATCTGGTCAGATTATAGGTATATAGAACATTAATGTTACACACTGCTTGAGACTGAGACTTATTCATTCAAGTGTTCAAAAGTTACAAACTAATTTCTTCCTGCACACTTTTTGTTCTGGCCTCTCGAGGCTGGACTAAAGAGGCCCTCTTATCTCTGATCCTATTAGGCTTCTATTCATCATATCACTAACTGTGAGGACAAAAGACTGACACGAGAGGGCAGCATTTCATTGTCTTTTTCATTTTGGCTAGACATTCCACTTTGTTCCTACTTCTGCCCTCACTTGAATTAAACTCTTTCCTGTTCCTCTAACATCTTGTACTCAGGGCTACAATGAGACATGCGTTCATCCTATTTTATGCTACTATTATTACAGTATCCATGAATGCAAAAAGGAAACCAATTAAAACAGTGTTAGTATTATCAAATCTTACAATAAATGTCCAGGAAATACAGCCTACAGTACCAAAAACACATATATATTATATAGCAGTGTGTGCTGGAGTAGTGTGGGTATATCATACTAGTGTTTGGTATACCCATCATACACCCGCAGTATTACACTGGTGGGTCATTTTATGTTCTTAGGCAGTATTGCTGCATTACAGACTGAGCTGTCAGAGGCCATCTAACACGATTCACAACTGTGGTGAAAAGTGGCTTTCCTCTCTGATACTTGCATATTATAAAAAACTTCATGCTGATGCATCCTATGGCAGGTGTAAATATCACTATCACAGACAGAAGTCCGCATCAGTTACACAACCACGGCCCCCTCCTGCCTCTGTACTCGCCAACCTGCATCCATCCTGATATGAACCCCTTTCAAAAGAGAGTCGCAGATTGTCATCGCCTCTCACAGTCACACTGATGACAAATTAGCGGGCCGCGGCGTTGCCGTCTCGACAGGAAAAGCAGTAGCAGGGAAATGAAAGGGAATGGTGTTTATTCCCAGAGCTCAACCCCTCTGTCGGCCTGTCACTCTTCCCATGACCCTGAGGGGAGAAACGGAAGGCATCCTGAGCTTCCTTCCTTCCATACCTGTTAAATCATTCATCATCCAACTGCCTGATTATTTTAAAAAGCTAACAAGGCTTTGGTTCTGGAGTGTGTTTGTGTGTGTCTGTCTGCGTGTGGGAGAGCGGGAGAGAGCGGGAGCAAGAGGGAGGCATCGCTAGAGGTGGGATGCACCCCGTGGCTCTTACCCCCCCCCCCCCCCCTTACCCCTACCATCACCCCCATCCCCTCATCCCTCATACACCCACTTCCCCCACCTCCTCAGTAAAACATTCTTTTGCATCCTACAAAACTTTTAGTGGAGGGAAAACTCCCCCCCTCCTCTTTCTTATCCTACTTCTCCTTTTTTCGTTGCCTGTTTCCTTCTGTCCTTGGCATGACTGTGCGTCTGTTTGTGTGTTTTCCTTTGTGTGCAAGACAAGCGCAGTTTTATCATGTGCTTGAATGTGTGTGTGTAAATGCTTTGGCCTCTCTGTGAATGGAGGGCTGTGTGCCAGAGGTCGGGGCAGAGGCCCTCTTGGGTTGTCTTGGCCCACAGACAGGAAAGCAGCTTGGAAGTGTGTATGAGTGTCGGTATGTTTGTGTGTGTCTGTGTTTGATGAGCCACTTGGCATCATTGTGGTTTTGTGGCAGTTGGCACTCAGCGCCAAGCCATGTCATTTGCTGTCGTGCCTTTAATATGCCAATACACAAACCTGAGCCATAGACTGTATCTCAAAGACAAATTTCAGTATCCATCAATATAAATCTTAAAAAAAAATACTATTTGTCTTTTATTTCCAAGTCCATGTTGTTTATTATCATTACAGAGACTCTGAAGTATTTCCATACTATTCCACAAATTTACAGCCTACTTTGAATACATATCGCATGATCGAGTATACTGTTCCAATTCATTCCTGGAAAATACAGTGTGTCATTCCACATACCGTATATACTTTACTGTGTGTATATAAACCTACCTATATCTAACCTAACAATACACATTTTGGTATTAGGGTTAAAAGAGATAACAGACTCCAAATAAAATGTCACGCCTAGAATCAGCACTAGACATCTTGCATGCTTGACATTTCGTTATAAAGTTTAAAATGTAACTATATGTATAGAGTTGATACTGTTAATTTATTGTAATTTATAAACCCTATCTTACCATGCTTCCCTTTGATGTGACATCCAGGTCAGGTCTTATCCTAAACAGCATCAGGAATAGAGATTCCGCGGCGGAATTGGGAAGAGGTTTTCCTGCAGACTTGGGGACTGGTGTCACATGACTGGGACTCAAGTCAGACTCCAAAACCACAAACTTTAGACTCGACTTGACAAAATCAAAAAAGACTTGCAACTTGGACTTATGACATCAGTGACTCATGACTTCACTTGAAAATACTTGATACCTTCACCAAATCCCAAAGATTTAACGGTACAGATCGTATTTTAAAGAGTGTGCCACAAATCAATGCATTTTTCATACTTTCCTGAATGAACTAATCTTAACGCTATTCACTCCCAACAAGTTATAGTTAAATAGAGTTCCAAAAACCAGCAATTTAATTCTACCTCTGCATACTCCATCTTACGTCTGTTTTATAGAAAATGCTTTGTAAAGGCTTTGGGCCGTAAAATGAAATGAAGACAACGTAAGACTTTGTCATAACCTACAGTACTTTTAAAAGTGGCAACTAGTTCGCTGAGTTAGCTGTGGCACTTAAAAAGATGCTGCCTGGCGTGTACACAGCCAATCCGACAGCTGCTGCTGTTCTTTACAGACTTTATAATCAAATGTTTAACAGTGATTTTTTTCACTTTGTTTTCCAATTCTTTGATGTTTACACAGGAATGCAAGTGACATAATTCTCCATCTTAGTAAAACCGTCCTTCATTAGGTTCTGCATAGGTACAAGTTATTTGGTATTGCTGGGATGTGGACAGATGTCCGTCCGTGCCTGCCATGAGATGTCACCCTAACCCACTGCTACCTGACCAAACATGCTCTTCTCTGTTTCAGTCTTTAACACCACCAACATGTTGCCACTGTCTTTCTTCTTTCCTGTTGTCACGACCTTCCCTCATCTGTCTGCAAGGCATGCCACTGCTCCTTTCTTCTTCTGTTGCTCCATCTCTCTCATGCTGTCCCAGTCTTTTCTCTGCCGTCAGTTCACTTCGTCTTTACTCTTTCTTTCATCTCTGAAACTGGCATGGACTCACCTTGGCTGTTTTTCTCTCTTTGTTTCTTTTGGAGTACCTTGTATTCATTCAGTTCCCTCGGTTCCCCTTCCTCACCCCCTTTCTTTGATATCGTTATGCTCTCTGTTTCCCTGTTCATCTTTTTCTTCTCTCTGCCTCTGTCTGTTGCTCTCTTTCTTTCCTGCAGTCTCCTGTGACCTCTCAGACCACCAGGCAGTGTTCTTTGACCCCGGCCAAGATGGTACCGTCTGCCTCTCCCACTCCTTCCAGCCCTGCCCTGCAGACCTCCTCCTCTTCCTCTTCCTCCTCTTCCTGTCCTGCACTCCGCCCTGTGAGATAACTCGCCTATTTTTCAGTCTCCTACCTCATATTTTCTTCCTTAAGCATCCCTGATGAGTGATGCCAAGAAATAGTGTTGTGGCTTAGTGGTAGTTTAGAGTTTATACAGTAGGTTGCGAGCCAGGTTGGAGAATCTAAGTGGGGCTAAAATGAATGAGTCCGATTTATTACAGCCTCAGTTTTTGCTGTGCACTAGAGAAAAAGCGACCCCAATCCTTCATTTAGAAATTTACCATACGTTTGAAAAAATGAATCCCAAAATGATGGAAGATGAAAGTTTCTTGTCGGCTAACATGCACAGATACACAAGTTTGTAATTAACCATGATAAGTACTATTACTGACATTAGTTTTCTGCAAATTGTCTATTTTTTGTTTGTCTTAAGTTAAATTTTCTAAATAAACGTACGAATGCTAAACACATGAAGGAGCAATCATTATTCATTATTACTGTGGTACTTAATTATCCTCAGCATTTATAAAGTTGCTGTTGGATGTAATCCTTTGATTTTTAAAGATATAACATCAAGTAACAATTTATATCATAATTTTGCAAGCAAGTTATTTGTTTGCAGAGAAAAATGGGAATAATAACTGATTTCCACCAACTGAAACAAGTATAGCTGCCAGGTATTACTACTCTGGCAACATGACATCATGTACTGTACACTAGCACTGGTGGAGATTTCTGAGGAACTGAGTCTCTGGTCAGACCCAGTGTTTCCTATCTTGATTCAGCTGAGATGCAGTGCAGAATTTGATTTCCCTGCTCATAATCAAATTCATCTGAGGAGAAACTGTGATCTTTGCTAAACAGAAACGTACAGTATGCGGTACATTTGGTCTCAGAGTAGAAGATTGTTGTGGCTCGTCCAGGTTTCAGACTCGAAGACCTGTCCCTTATGTTTGGGAGACTTCTTGTTATATACACACTAACTCGGCAACCCATCAGCGCAGATAGAAATGTAATTTGGCCCACACTACACTGCACAGCTACATCATGTGTGTGGATGTAGATATGGCCTTGCCCTCCGTCCATATGTGGCATGAGTGATCAGACACTAATGTGTCCTCTATGCATTTTGGGTGCATTCGCACCTGTATTTAGAGCTGTCCACTTATGATTACATCACACAAGATATATTTTATTGCCAAGTGTGAACAGGCCCTGAGAGATTTTAAAGAGGTGATGAGGGCTTTAGAGTGAGAGACTGCTGATGGCACCTCATCTGTTTGAGCACAATTTGTGTTTTGGATGTGAGATATTTTCACATATCATTATGAGGAAGTAGACAATAGGTGGCTAATGTTTGGAATGACTAGTAACATGTCTTGATGGGAGGTTTTGCTTGCCAGGTATGTGACTGTTAAGAAAAGCTTTGATGGCCTCCTATCTTTCCCAGCCTCTATCTTGTCACCACCTCCTCTTCCTCCTCCTTGTCTGTTAAGGGATGTCCACCCAAGTCAGGACACCAGATGTGACAGGAGCGCTGTGGCGCCTGCCTCCTGTTCTCTGTGGCCTTGCTGCAAGCGAGGCGTCACGTCCTGTTTATCTCTCTGTCTCTTCCTTGCTCTTCCAGAAGGGCCCCGTGGCACCGGCCGTGGCTGTGACGGCTCCGCAGCAGACCCCCGTGGTTATGGCCCCCCAGGCCCCGGCCCAGCCTGCCTCCCAGCCAGTGCAGCCTCCGCAGACGGCCATCGCCCCGGCCCCCGGAGCTCCTGTCGTGTCCCAGGTCCGTTCCCCCCTACATAAACCCCCCACCCCCACCGCCCACACTCCACCCTCAAGGGTGCAAGCACTGTCACAGCTGCCAGCAGGCTGGCTGTGTCACAAGCTCAGCCCCGGACCCACAGCCTCACCGCCTCACACAGCTGGCCATGCACCAAGAGTCTCACACATGCCCACACACATTGCACTCATACATTCACACAAGTACATACGAACCCAAGGACATACAGACGCAGACATTGGACACATCATGAACACACACACATTTTATATATATATATATATATATATACACACACACATTCAGGGATACAGCCATGGATGCAGGCTCACATACACATATTTCACACAGAGCTACAGAATCTCACACACAGACTCTCATGTCTCCTTGTATGCAGGCCGGAGAGCCCTCACAGGGCAACAGTTTGTTGCCACTGGCAGTTTGAGTGGACAGGTGCCATGTCTCATTTGGCTACAAAGATGACTGGATAACATGCTAAGTGTGCACTGTGCTTTGATTTGTCACTGATGCTTGTCAGATTCTTTATCAGTCCAAGTAATTTCATTCTGTAGTAGCGTTGTTAGGCAGTAATATTAGAAGTGCAACACAAATACAAAATGACTTCTTCTCTGCATAGAATTGGAGCTAACACCTTTCTTTTAAGATCAAAGTCTGGGCCCAAACTGATGCTCATCGTAGACTAATAGCAAAAGACAGTCATTTCATTAAATGTTGATTAGCACCTTAGAAATAAGGTTTTAGATCCTGAAGTCTGAGACAGCGAGCAATTTATAGCTCAAACTGCCAATTTCTATTTTGCACGGAAGGTAAATAATTGTTTTTTTATCTTCTACAGGAGATGCAAGAGAATGTCAAGAAGTGTAAGAATTTCCTGGCTACACTTATCAAACTGGCGTCTCACAATTCTCCGTCCCCTGAGACCTCCAAGAACGTCAAGGCTCTTGTTCAGGACCTGCTGGTGAGCTTCAAATCAACTGTTCTTATGGACATCATGGAAGTATGTGGTTGTGCAATGTTTCTACAAAGATAAGATTTTAAAGAACCAAGCTTTTTAAAAGTCTTGACTAACATTTTGCTTCTAATTTGGTGATTGTTTTCCTCAGCAAGACCTTTATGAGGCCACATTTCCTACACGTCTAATTGACTGGAATGTTCAGTCAATCATTCTTTGTTATGTATGACTTTTATGACATAGACTTTTCTTTTTGCAATATACATGTAGGACTAAGTTAATGTTGGCTCTTTAATGTGTTGTTGTATTGAATATTTTAAACCTGTAGATGGCAGCATGAAACTCTTTCCGAAACATCCTGCTCGATCACGAATCTTCATCTTATACACAGTCACACATTCATGAGTTGCACCCTGAGGTTCCAGGATTGGAGATGAGTGGTTGATGGATTTAATCTTGTTGTGTTCAAGTCACTGTTGTGTACTTACTTTACTGTCTGGCTTCTCTTGTAAAGTGGTGTTTATAATTTACCCTTCACCTAACAGGATGCCAAGATTGAACCGGAGGAGTTCACCAGCCGGCTGCAGACTGAGCTCAAGTCGTCTCCTCAGCCTTACCTGGTGCCCTTTCTTAAGGTGTGGTTCTTGCTTGTAAACCTTTTTTTTTACCTTCTTTTTAAGCTTGCTCAGTCGACTTGCTTCCAACACAGACTGAGGCTATTTCTCCTGAACTGGATCCCTTACTCTGATCCCTAAACTTCACCTGATGTTGGTTCTCTAAACTGGTGGCTTCAAAGTGCCTTTCCATACAATTCTTCAAACTGATTTCTAAATTGCTGTTTCAAACTGGCTACCTGACAATTAACTGCAAGCTTGTCATCTACACCTGGATCTTAAAGTAGTCCTCCTTAACGGGGCACTACATTGACAGTTTACTGGACCCCTTGGCTACTTTTGATCCCTAACATCTTCCTGAACTGTTCCCTAACCTGCCCCTTAAACCATCCCCTAACCTGGCTCCTTAAGCTGGCCCTTTCATGTAAACTAAACATGACCCCCTAAAGTAGTCCTTTCCCTACCACCAGTGCCAGTGATGGCTAGGCCTGACAGTAGAATGACATACACACACACCCCTCTGGCCTGACTTCTGACTGTGTGTGACAGTGGCCCCCGCAGCCGTCCCTGCCAGTAGCCAGCAGGTTTCTCCAGCCAACCGCGATGAGCGTCACATCAAGGCACACGACCACCCAACCCGGCCACAAACACATGTTGTCATGTAATGTTAGGTCGCTTATGTCAAAAAGCTGCCTGAAATAGTCTGTATGGAGCAGCATCAGCTCCTCAGCTTGGCTGTTACAGTGGGTTATCAGAAATGGCCGATGAACATGTTTCATGGCGTATACAACATTAAACATACTGTAAGCCAGTGTTTTTTACAACGTATAAAACCACATGAATCATTGTGGGGAAAAATGCAGTTGTTGTCTCAGCAGACGTTTTGCAGCTGTGTATTGTACTTGCATGTCTGATTATCCCTTTGACTATAAACTCTGGCTCTCTCTGTCCGTCAACAGAAGAGCCTCCCGGCCCTGAGGCTGTCTTTGCTGAATAGTCAGCAGTCCCTGATCCAGCCCCCGCAGCAGGGAGTCAAACCAGCGCCCGGCGGCACGCCTCCTGCCATCGTGGCTGGGCCAGCTGTCCGCATACGGCACCCTAACAGCGTCAGCACCACAACGGGTGCCAGTGCTCTCCCCGCTGGGACGCTTGGGCATGCAGCTGTCATGGTATGTATGGAGCGGACCTGCTGTAACAGACTCCAGTGCAGACACAATTACCACACTGTTCACATTTACAGTTTACATTTGAATTGAAGTCCAGTGACTTACATTGATTGCAGGAGAGGAATCACTAACATTAAAGTTACATTAAATGAACCTGTGTATGTGGAAACTGTGTCATTGACACATAATGTGTAAATGTACACACCGTACAGAAATGTGTGTACGGTGTGTGAGGAGAGGGTAAGAGCTGTTGTGGTCAGGTAATAAATGTGACAAATATTTACCCACAATATTTCTACATTCAATAGAGAAGTGCTAGAATGTGATGGATGCAGAGCTGCGGGGGTTGGTGGTGTGTGTGTGTGTTTGTCAATGGGTCTTATACAAGCCTGAATTATCAGGCTGGAGAGTGTCAGTGTGCCATGGCTGGGAGTCACACAGCCAACAGTGAGCTAGAGTTACACCCAGCTCACAGACTCACTGAGGAATCGCTCTCAGTTTATGGGAAAAAATGTTTTAGGAGAATAGGACGTGGGCTTTGGACTTCAAAGCAGTTGTCAAACAAGATCATTAGGAGTACAACCTTGTACTACTCCACGCAGACACAGGAAGAATGTGCAAACTCACACATAATGTAAACCTATTCACACCTTGGAGATGCTCTGTATGACCAACTGTACTACTGGCCACTGATCAGAGCAGATGGTGTCTCAAGGGCATATTGTTTATAACTGTTTACTCCTGTTTTGACTTTGACAGATGATTAGAAGTATCTGACGCAGGAACAAACCAAGATCATTTTCCACCCTTTTAAGTTTCATTTATGCAAGTTGACATATAAATAGTTAACAAAATGTGTGACTTGCTAATAAGTAGGATAATTAAAAAGATAATGTAATTATAATATTAAAACACCAAGGTAGGGCTGCAAATAATGATTATTTCATTATTGATTAATCTGCCGTTTGTTTTCTTGATTAGTCGATGAAGTGTTCTGTCTATAAAATATCATTAATTAGCTAAATATGCCCAAGGTGATGTCTTCAAGTGTCTTGTTTTGTCAAAAGATACTCATTCTACTATCTTGTATGGCAAAGGAAAGAATAAATTGTTTAAAATTTAGAAGCTGGAACCAGCATGTTTGGCGTTTTTGCTTTAAAAGAATTTCTAAAATGATTATTTGATTATCAAAATAGTTGCAGATTTTCATTATATAAGTTGTTATATTGTGACAAGTAAATGTACCTACCTGCCTACTTACCTAATCAAGTAATTGACTAATCAATGCAACTCTATGCTAATGATAATTAGCTGTACATTTTTTTATTGTCTTGTACTTCCATTATTCTGTTAATTCAATATATCATAACTTTTTTTTAAATAAAAAGAATGGAAACCTAGCTGCTGTCTAGGTGAAAAGCCTATGGTTAGTAATGGTAGTATCGGAGTTAAAGTTTATTTAGTTTTTATTTATTTATTTCAGGCTTATTTAACAGAGACAATGCACACTAATAATACATAAATAAATGTATAATGTGCCAGAATTACCCAAAAGCCTATTTTAGATCTGCTGTCCCTGGACAGATCGCAATATGTCACACCTAAAAAGAAAAAATGATTAAAATAGTACATACAGGTTAACACAAGAAAAAATTGACTATGAATGTATAAAAAAATACTAAACCAACTTAAAAACAAGACCAGTTGGTCAATATCAACGTCAACACCAATACACACATACACACACAAGCCAAGTGTCCATATAACAAACATTGTATTATAGCAATGGCATACATTTTTGGACATGCACAAAAAAACAATATAGCTGGGACAATGAAAAACAACAGAGGTTTATCTAAACACAAATGAGCCAGACATCCTCATAGGCATAGCACAAGAAGGACACACAGGCAGGACAGAAAAGACAAGTTAGCAGCAAGATTTAGTGTCTAAATGTAATGTTGAAAGTCCTGACTATCTGTTAGCCACTTTGAATTGGGATGAGGTTCCATTCATAAGCAGCCCTGACTGAAAAAGCTGTTTGACCGAATGCACTTTTCCTCAATGTGACAATGCAGTCACCTCTTGCTGCACTCCTTGTAGATCTGGAAGCATTTGGTGCTGCGTTTACTAACTGGCTCAATACAGGAGGAGCCAGTCCATGTAAAAAATTGTACATAAGAAAGAGATCTGTATATGTAATCAAGTTTTTGAAACTTAAAAGGTAATTTTTTTTTTCAACATGACAATGATTATAATATATATATTTCCTATCAAGTACTTTAAGAGTTTTTTGATATATAGGCGTGGTAGACACTCTCACCCGTCTTACATGTTTGACCTGAGATGCACCATTTTCACTTGGATTGTCTCAATTTTATATAAACAACAAACAAAAACAAATGCCGTCAGAATAATTTGAAGTTTTATTTACACATAACTTCTACACATTTGTGCACTTGCTTGTTTAGTTTCAGAGACAGGGTTTATACCGCTATCCTCTGGTTGAAAGAAAAACTACTCAAAAATCTGCATAAAATGGCATAACATGAGTCCTACACACTCTTGATATGCAGCATTGTATAGCGACTCTGACGGTTTTTAATTGATATGTTTATTTTAGTGTCCTGACTTAAATGGTGCCCAGCCCTTCTGGGGCTTACAAGACGCTAGACAGCATAAACAACCAGGATGGCCACAATCAACCAAATCATAATCTACAGTTCCACAAACTCAAAAAAGAAACATTTCAAAAGATTCAGTTTACTTGACAGAATTGTCCTATTGTATTATTACCTATACAGTGTTTTCTATCTTAGCTGTCATGGAATTTCTATTAATTTTGCCAAAACAAACATCTCCTCATTAAAGAGCCAACTCAACACATCAGTTTTAGACAGCAACCAAAATAATTCAGGATTCTTTAACTGATTTTTTTCAAACATAAGACACCTTAAGTTACTGCACGCCCGACGGGAACCAATTCTTAACTGAGCGCACAGGGACGTCAGCCTTCTCTGTAAATTAAATTGTTTATATGGTTCTGTGTAGTAATCTTCTTTGACCAAATCTACTTCTTCCATTGTTCCCTGTGGATCTTCAATAGTTTGACATTACATTCATATTACACTGCAAATTGCTCCTGAAAATGAAATTTAAGTCAGAAAGAGAAAATATTGTGGCGACATCTTTCAACCAAGGATAATTGTGTGCTCTATCCCTGTCAAAGATATTTTTAGTCAGCCTTTCACTTGGTACCTGGACTAGTATTACCCCAGGTTGTGAGCAGATCATCCAGTGTGGGGATACAGCTGAAGTTAGGACAGGTAACCTGCAGGGTTCCAGCACTGGACACGAGGCAGCCTTATTCAACGCACAGCTGTATCGCATTACAATGTGGATGTGTGGGTAAACTGTATGATGTGCGAGAACAGGCATCTATGCATCGGTCAAGTGAGGTCAGACTCAGATTGGTCTGGTCCAGGCAGAGGAAGCTAGAGGGTTCTCTCTTTTGCATCTTTCGTTTAAGTCTTTCTCTCACTTACCCTCCTCCTTCCTTGTCTTCCCTCTCTACTTTCTCTCACCATTTCCCTCCTAGATTTTTCTTCTCTCCCTTGCTCCCTCTCTCTCTTTCCATCCCTTTCCAACACTTTCTCTCGCTGCATCTACCCCTGCATTGCTCTCTCATCTCCCTCCCTCCCTCTACCCGTTAACCGTTGAAGGGTGAAGCGAGGTAACTAGGTCAGCCCCGGGTCAATTTTAAAGCAATGTGGCGGCCGCAGTCTATGTCCAGAACATGCCTCTGGTCTCTTTCACTCTGTCTCCCTCTCTCCCTCTCCCTCTCTTTCTCTAATGCACACACATGCATAAAACCCCAACATAAGCTATCACACAAAACATTAGTAAATGATCACCCCTGGCACATCAACAGTCTGAAACCAGACAGCTAGTTGAATTAGGCAAAAAATCTGCTCTACCACAGTAGTATGGGTAAGTTTTGAAAATGTCTTGTAAAGTGTATAGATGTATAATACCTCTATAATACCTAAATATATATATATTTATTTAGGTATTATAGATGTGTATATATATATATTTGTGTATATATATATATTTGTGTATATATACATATATGTATATACAAATATATATATATATACACATATGTATATATGTATGTATATACATATATATATATGTATGTATATAAATACACAATGGAATACAATTATGCATATTGATTTTTTAAATAGGTAAACACGCTGTAATTGGTAACTTGTTTTTATGGCTTAAGACCTGAGCTATGTCTGTTTAAAAAGACAAAATACATTTGTGAATTCCAAATGTCAAATGTAATTTTGATTATTATTTTATTACACTACTATTTATAATGAGATTTGCTGGACCTTAAACATCCTCAGGGCAAAATATATATATGGTGAATGGACTTGATAAAACAATAAATGAATGGAGAGAAGTAACTAGGTCATATTACGACATAGCACTTTATCCTTCACTGCAACAGTGTGTACAAATATATTATCAGGGTTAGCTGAATGCTGAGGCAGGAATACCGAGTGTGGATCCAAATGCAAGACACCAGAGCAAAGTAGGTTCAGTTGATGATATTTAATAAAGTCCAACAGAAATTCTCAGGCTTACACTTGGTGCTAAAGAGAACATAAATCCAAAAGGCAAATGTAATCCAAATCATGGAGAACAGGGCATGGGCCGAACACTCAACATAAGACAACAACACCACAAAGACTGAACACAACTCAGGGCTATGTAAACAGGGGCACACCACACACACACAAGCAGGCATGGCGATTAATCACAGGTGAGACAGGAATCAAGACAGACAGGAAGCAAAGCTAGACAAAAACACCAAAATTACAAAATAAAACAGGCAGGAAAGGTTCTGCTACACGAGGATATAAGTAACTAAATACAACAGAGAGCAAGGAAGCAATGATCAACTAACAAAACCTAAAGAAGAACACAGAGGCAATGAGTAAAACAGAAATGGACAACAAAATAACAGAAAAACACCACACTCAAAAACAAGATGTGGAGTTACATGTATATTAGCAGTCGACTGATATGTGATTTTCAAAGGCTGATATTTAGAGAGCAGGGCGTCTGATGGCCAATATATAATGCCAATATCAAAACAAAGAAAAGTCATGTATAATTCCATTTTTCCATGCATGAGTACAATCTAAAATACACATACATCTTAGCCGTAACGTGTTGTTTTAGATGAAATTTTTTTTAATTAATGAAATAGAAAAATACATTAGGTTCTGCTGTAGATTTCTGTAGAGTAGAGAGTGACTGGTGTTTAAGGGAGAGTGGGGTACAGTTTGTCATAAGTGACGTCATTCAACTGCATCATTCTCTACAGTATATATATAATATATTCAACACTAGCCAGTAATGGTTTTAGATTAGATCAGCTGTCATTTAGGATGATATATTGGCCTTATGAGTGCACGTGTGCCAGATATCGGCCTGAGTAATTGCCCGACCAAATTAATAATTATATTTCTAACCCTGTTCTTTGAGTAATATAACAATATCAGAACTCCCGGGAAACAAACAAAGCAAAATATAAATTGCTGCAACCTCATAGACTACAATACATGTGTGCAGCCATTAATTGTTGTAGTGTTACTAGTTGAATAAGTCAAATGTGTGTGGTCTTGACTTTTGATAACTTCATACAAACAAGGTCATTGCAGACATGATTGGCAGCCACCTCCAGTCATAAATTCTGTTTTTCTGGATTGGGATCTGCACAATCACTTTACAATGAATATTGTTTTACATTGAATGAGCATGCTGTCCTTACAGCTAATACTAATAGAGTTATTGCTAACGATACCACTAGTATTCAAAATATAATGTATATCTTTTTCTTTATCTAAAGTAATTATAATAAAATCCAACATTTACTATCACTTGAAATGAAAGATGAGCATTGAGTTCAATATCACTGTCTTCCCTTTTACCTTCTGATTCCCAAACTTTCTACATGACTTTTCTTCCCCTCTTAACTGTGTCGCCGGCTGGCCAGAGGTGCTAGCCATCTCTGCCTGTGCTGAATGTAATTTTTTCCCCCTTCCCTCCCACTCTTGCAGGCCCCTGCAGTGGATCTCTGGGAAAAATGGCCTCTGTCTTTTTTCACTAGCTTGAACAGTAATATAGCATGTGTCAGGGAATGGAAAACAAGGCTAAAAAATATGCAGCAAGAAGCAAACTGGTAGGAATGGATGGCTGAGCCCGAGGCCAGGCCTGTGGCTGCTAGCAAGGAAGGAAGTGACTCTAATAGCCCAGCACAGCCCTCCACCCCCCTCCCCCCGCTCCTTCTTCTTCTTCTACCACTACTACTTCTCCTTCTTCTAAACTACTTTTTCACTGCAGTCCTGACTTCTTATTGCCTTTGTCTTATCTGGAAATGCAAGCAAATGTAGGTCATGTACAGTGACAGAAATCCATCCTTCTTGTGCATTTAAATTGATCTCCACATTCCCAGTACAGTGTGTAGGGATAGCTATTGTAGAATTCTGCCTAATCTATTTTGCATCTGTCGTGCATTACTACCACAGATTTTTTGTGTTTGCGTATGTTACAGTAGAATAAAAATCAGTAGACAAAACTTGAGTGGCTCATGGCCAGCTTGACTCCGCATCGTTTCTTGCAACTAAGTCTGAAAGGGGAGCAAAAGTTGAATCTCCCCCTGAACAATTCCTCTTGGGGATGGCGTAAAAGTGGAGAAGTGGTTCAGTATGCAGTTTCATACTTTTTAATCGCCCCTTCTCACTAATGAATTGTTTCATTCTTTGAAATAATGCAGTGAAGTACATAATCTGTATTTCTTTTTGTTTTGTTTTGTTATTGTTTTTGTTTTTTTGCTTCCTCAGGGTATCAAGACAGCAGGCGCTGTCGGTGGCCAGGTCCGGATGCCCGTGGTGATCACACAGTCTGTCAGAGCGCAAGGTAGGACATCTGCAGGCCTTCTCCAGCCTCCTGAATTCAGTCACGTGTATGGTATCTCGTTTGTATTTCAGACATTATTTTGTTTATGTCAGTCTCAGAGAAGATTAAAGTAAGTTCAGTTAAAGACTGGTAGGTTTGAGTTTCAGGCCTTTATCTTTGATGAAGTCCTCTGACACACTTTTCTTCTGTTTCTGGCCCGCAATTTTTTATGTCTCCCAGTAAGGCTGCACGCTTGGCCAGATGACTTCAAACTCAGCCTGACCTTCTTGATAAATAAAGAGCCAGCAAAATAGATTAAAAAAGATAGCCATTAGTTAAAGTCTAAATGTTCTCTCAGTTGGCAGTAAGATGTGTAAATAGGCAGGAGCCACAGAGAGAACAGATGTTTTTTCCCTGTCTGGTTATAAAGCCTTCTCAAACATTTGCGCTGCTGCTTACTCACACTGATTCACAAACACTCTTCCCACAGTAGCCCAGAAATATCGCCCCAACACCAACCGGGCGTAACGCTCCCCTAAGAGAGCTGTGTGCTCTCAGGTGGTGTGTATCATGTGTGTACGTGTTTGTACCTGTTTTTGCTTGTGTGCGTGCGTGCATGTGTGTGCGATCGGAGGTGCATACAAATTTGATCTGCCCCCTTCCCAAAGATTGCCTGCAGTGAAAGATCTGTAGGTTGTTTTATGCCCATAAATTGGAATGCGGGGATAGTTCTAAAAATACTTTTCTGTGCCTCTTGGCTAGGAACATGCCTGTTAAAATCAAGTTTAAATTCACTCTGGCAGTCCTTGTGCCTCTCTGGAAAACGTGTCTCGGAGCAGGATGCGGTTTAGGAGTGTAAGGAGAGCCGGTGAAGCGCAGTGGTATTGACAGAGCGACGCTCTCCGCACCAACCTGGGGAGAGCGACAGTACCGCTCCCCCCACCCCCCCTCCATCTACCCCTGCGAGGATGACAGACACAGTTGAAGGTAGTCGTTAGACAGGAGGATATTTGACGCGGATAGAAAGGGACACTTCAATGATAACATTACTCCTTTTCTATTTTATTTAGTGTTTTCTTCTTTGTTTTTTTCTTCTTTGCTTAACAGGCACAATGGGGAAGGGAGCCATCATCCAAGCAGGCAAAAGTCCCGTGGGCTTGGCTGTTCAGATCTCTGGGAATCAGAAAAACAAGCTCAACGACCCCGGAGGAGGTTCTTTCAGGTACAACTCTTCTCACCAGGAGACCCCGACTGTTGCGCGCCTGTTGTTTGCAGCAGCCGTCACATGGGGGCAGCATTTCACTAAGATGCCCCCATATGACTACAGGCTACACTCTCAGCTAAGGCTATGAGTGTTTATCCCAGTAGCCTGGCCACCTGGCTGCCTGCCTGCCCGGCTGCCAGGCTGGTTGATGGTCGTTTCTCTCTGCGCCCACCACATAGCAACACACTGCCAGCCAATAGATCACCCTCACGATCACCCTCCTTGTGTCAGTGCCACAACTCATCGACAGGATTACAAATGAGCCAAATCTTAATTTAGAAATAAGATAATTGTGTCCAGATGGTCGGAATTTCTGGATACGGTACTGAAAATACCTTTTGGTTAAGTCAAACATACGGTATTTAGCCCGCAGCTTTGCTCTCTCTCTCTGGTCTTGTCTGCTTCAGCTGGGCTTTTGTCTCAAAACATGAAAGGTTCATCGCCCACATGCTGCCCTTTGTGGTCCGTGGTTTGTGTGGGCCTTTGTGTATTTCTGTGTGCGCAACATATACATGCAAGTGTGTATGTATATGTTTGCATATATGCCTCTATTTCTCTGTGTTTGTTTGTGTTTGTGTCCCTGCTTTGTTGCACGTGAACATATGCGTATATCCTAAAAATCTAAGAATGTTGTTTATGTGTGTGTTTATCAAATGTGTGTATGCGTGTACTGACAGGAGCAGGGGTTTAGGATTGCCCTCGTGTGACCGTGCTGGGGCAAGAAGAGTCTGGGTCACATGGGCCAACGGGTTCATGGTAATGGCTCCCGTCTCCTGAGGGGAAAGGCAGTGCCTGAGGCTCTGATTGATAAACCAATAAATCTTTAGCTGCGTTGGTAATTAAGCTGTCAGGCTCGCTTGTTACTGACGACCTTTCTCCCCCCCCCTGCAGTGATCACAGTGGCCTTCTACACACAAATGCGCTGGTTTCAGCATAAGCCCAATAACGCAGCAGCACCACAGTCATGCAAGAAGCATGTCACTGACATTTTATAGCATATTTCCCTTTTATCCAGGTCAGATGATCGTCTGTCTGGTCTGCAGTTACGTTTTAAACAAGCCTTACTATGCGTCGTCCCTTAACACCATTTTTGCTTCCATGTGTTTGTCTGCTAAGGCTGATAAACAATTTTAGTGTTTAACGAGTAATAGACCTCTGTTGACGTTATTTTTATCTTTCATTTGTTTTGTGTTTTTTCACTCATTCTTAAGTCAGGCATTTGAGTGTCTTGGAAACTGCTCTACAAATTATTCTTTACTATCACCTTTATTCCTAGTATACACTGCAAACAATTAGTTGGTTACTGAAACCTCTTAGTCTCACTCGCTGTTGTTTTTATTCACACCTGAGGATAAAAACATGTTGGAACAGAGCCCAGGGTTACAAGGCGATCTGTCGGACGCTGCTGTGTCTTCAGCCCACCTCCAGAAACCTGCAACAGGAACATAATGACTTGGCAACAGTGTTTCCTGTAACTCACAGTGGGAAAAAATTAGGTTATATTTACTTTATAAGTTGTTCAAAGTTCACCTATGGGTTTTGGTCTTCAACACTCACAACATGTTATTAGCATAGTATCACCAAGTCAGGTCTGATTTATTCATAATCTGTGTGTTTTTGGCCTGATTTTACAAAGCGCTTACAGATCAACAGAGGTTTAAGATAAGAGAGGGGGCAAACTCCGCAAAAAGTGAGAAAAGAAAAAAAACATTCACTGAGTACGGCCGGCTTGGTCAGTCAGCATCCACCAGCCCCTCACCCATCCTGCCTGCACTGTGTACAGCTGTAGTTGGGGACTGATGTGTGTATGGCTGTCACTCTGAGCCACTGGTCCCAGCGGGCCAGCTGTAGCTCAAACACACACATACACACTGCAGGGCTTGTGGGGTTTCCAGTGCAGCTACAGTCTTCTGTTTAAGCGTTTGTGTGTGTGTGTGTGTGTATGTGTGTGTGTAGTTTACAGTACAGAGTGAAAGCAGCTGTCTCTGTGCCCCCCCCCCCCCCCCCCCCCCCCCCCTCATCTCTCTGTAAACACTCGACATCCGTTGTAATCACAGGCAAGCCAGCCGGGGCCCTCAGCCCTCTGCCAACCTCCGAGCTCAGCCTCAGCCCCTCAAATCCAACGCTGTCCTACATGGTGGACACACATCCGTGTGCATAAACGCACAAACACTCACATAGTTGCACTGGAAAAGACACACATGGAAAATAAGGAACAAAAGTGTTAAGTTTCCATTTAAGTTAATTCTGTTCTTTGTGGTTCATCCTTTGTTGCTCTGTGATGTGCCTGTTTTGCTTAAAAAAAAGTCTTTATAAATACATTTGACTCAATTAGAACTTAAAAGTGACCTCCCAAAAATTGTTGATGCAGAGACTTGGAAACACAGCAGCCACAAGATTAGATTATGTTCAGATTGGGTGCCGTGCCACTTTAAAGATGCTCCGAAACATCCATGAAGAAAATGGAGGCACGTCAAAACGCTTAAAGGAAGAACAGTCTGGAATGCTGATATATTTTTGTTGACAGCCACATCACAGCAAGGTATTTTGACATACAGTGCACCTTCTTCACAACATCATCCACATAACATCAAGCCTGTTTTTTTATATTTGTGAATAATTACAGCTTGAGTGTGGGTGGTCTGTTGAATTCATAACAGTTACTGAGTGAACATCTAACAACATTTAGCTTGTTGCTGGGTTTATTGGCCCTTCTTGTGCCACCGATGCTGTCATCCATTTGGGTCATAAATACATATCCCATCAGCTGCCCAGTGAACCCCAAGCTGCTTTGCGGAGAATACTTCTCCAGCGGCCTCTCAGTATGGGTGCAACAAGCCTGCATGGCCTGGGTGTTAGTCACAGGGATCAATCAGGGCCCCCTGCCTGGGCACACAGACCTTTATCCACGGGGTGGGGGTTGGTGTGATTGGGGAGGAGGGGCAGGAGATCTGGATTCATCCTCATCTATCCACACACACACACACACACACACACACACCTCTAAATGGCAAAGCAATCCTCTCACCAGCTATGGCGTGCCCTGTCTGGAACACAAGCTTGAAATGGAAACGACATGCATATGTATTCATGTGACCGCCGGCTCAGTGTCCCCGAGCCAACCCAACCCAATAACTGAGAGGCTGCTCTTTAGCTTCTGTGGAAGCTAATTGCATCTCTGCTTTATTAGCGCAGAGGTATAGCTGGGAATATTTTGAATTTCATATCTCATTCCCTCCTTTTAATGTCAGACCTGTCTTTGGCATTCCCTTTTGATTTGAGCCCTGGTGATCCGAAATGGCCAGAAATCAGACCATTCAAGAAAAAGAAACATTCATAATATTACCAGCGTTTTTGGATACTGGGTGATGTTTTATGTATCTATACAGTGGTTTTGCTTTGACTGAGTTTCTGCACTTATTGTAGCGTATTCCCACTTTTATCAGGGCTATTTCGATATGAACAGATCACCAGAGGCCTTGTAACAAAATTATAAATTTACTTTTATGTTTATGTTTTTTAAAAGGGACAGACACACAAGCATATGATATCTACTCAATAGACTAATGCCACATAATGTGACAAGTACAGTCCTACCTGCATAAAACACAGTTGTTAATACAGTTAATTTACTTTCCTCGAGCGCGTGATACCCGTTATTCTAAAGATGTGCTGAGGTTAACTTTGTCTTTGTCATTAATATCTGTCTCATTATTTGAAAAAAAAAAAGATTCAGTAACTTACTACCAAGCTAGCTATGCTTCAGATTTCAGTTTACAACCCCTAAGGTGAATAATCTGGCCGACCAGATCATCTGACAGAAAGAATGAGTTCCAACTTAAATATTTACGTGTATATAAATAGTATGCAAATCATGTGTGATTTATACAAAAGTCACATGCCCTATTTTACCGAGATAACCTAATCTAACCTGTTGTGTTGCCTTCTGCCAACCTCAGCGTTCCAGGTACTTTGCTCAGCTTTAAGAGGGTGGATCTGTCTGAACAGGTATATGTTATAAATCATTTATTCTTAAACCAGGGGAGATTATCAAATTGTTAAAAGGTAACCTTACTGTGCATTTGTCCACAGTGTTTCATTTGTTGTCACCATTACTTAACATGTGAAAATGAAAAAGATCTATTACAGCACTATGGTGTACTTCAGTAAGGCAAAACCATGCGCTGTACAATGAAGCTACTGGCTTCAAAACACAACTGTTATCTTCTATGGCGATTGTGTAAAGAGGCTTTGCTCCTCTTTACACAGCTTGTTGTCAATACAGTGTTACACATATGACAGGTCATGACAGGTGCATATAACCTGACAACATATATAGTTTTAAGCAGTGGAAGTAGCAGCGTTTCTTCTTTGCCTGAGTGAACATGCCCTCAGGCATGTTCCTTTTTAGGACAGGTCAAGTTATCCATGAGGACGTGATGAAGAAAGGTGCACAGCCTGAGGTGCAGCACAGGGTATAATCCTTTGTATCCATGCTTGTGTTGTTGTGTGGATTCTCTCTGTGAAGGCATAATTAGTGCTGGAGCAGAGGAGGAAAAGAGGAGAGAAGGTAGAAGTGTGTGAGATTCAGGGAGATGCTCTAATCGTCTTTGTCAACCTCCTGCTGTGGTGTCAAGTTTCATATCGGCTCTCCATGGCCGCACCAATGAGCAGGAGGTCCTCAGCGGGTTGGAGTTGGCTGACGGTGTGTGCCCACACACAGCCGCGCTGTACACATCCGTACACAAAAGCACAGCAACACACGCACAAGCTCTGTCGCAACCAACATCGTTGGCATGAACGTAAATGACTGTGGAGGTGAGCCAGTGAGTGGCGAGAGGCCACTCTGTGTGTGTTCTGTGGTTCTTTGTTCCCTCCGTCAAAGCCACTCAGAAAATCTGCTGCTTGCTTTGGGCCAGTCCTGTAAGCACAACACGTGACCGCTCAGCTAATTCAGGCCAGAATCAGAATCATTACTTGCCAAGTGCAATAATTGTAGGGGAATTTGACTCTGTGACAACTCGCAAAGAAAGTCACAGCCTTTAAAGGATGTGGAGCCTTCACTGACTGTCACATGCAATGACCCACAAACACAAATTCTGCATGTATATCCCCTTCTGTGTCTCTGCTAATGTGTAATATATAAACAGTGTGAGTCACTATTAGGCCTGTAAGAAATGACCAGCACATCAAGAAAATACAAAGGAAAGTGCAGCAAAGCGGTATGCAAATAGAGTTTGTTGACATTAGAATATAGCCAGATTCATCACAGCTCCGTGCCAATCCTCAGGAGCATCCTTACTGAGCTGAACTCCGTCCAAATGCTCTTCATCTCCCTGCCTCACAGAGTGCTAACACAAATAGACCCTGGAATGGGAATTCGGTGCCATTATGACCAAAGCATAGCACTCTGTAATAAAACTAATGCATATTGTCATCCAAGGAAATATTCATGAATAAAAGCAGGATTTTGGAACATATTTTGATAATGTTATGACATGAATACTGATTTTAAGTCAGGGTAAGGGTTTGTGTTCAAGGCTATTCCTCCAAGTCAAAGTGAATTCTTTTTTAATAGTGAATGAAGCAGAATTGTGTCTTTTCTCTTGGAAGTTTCTCAGTGATCCAGGTCATAGTTATCCAGTGTGGGTTATAATTAAGGGCAACTGGACTTGGTTGAACACACTCAAAGGGGTTTCTCATCCAAGAGACTTCTTCAGTTCTGACTGACTGGCAGGGAATCCCAGCTATTTAACCTCTGGAGGTAATGGGTACCGCTTGGTTCATTAGTACTCCTGGCTGCTGATCGTTGCAGACACCCGAGGACAAGTCTGAACGTCCATCGTTGGCATTGTCATGTGAGGCCAAATGTGAGCGTTTGTTCAGTCTCCTGGGAAGAGATAAAAAGGACAGGATGTTTTGCTTTTTTTCTTAAATTTTGTAATGATCATTTGCCCTTGTGCTAGAGCATTTGTTTCTGCTAACAGTAGAGGGTGTAGACAGAAGGAGACAGTGTAGACAGGCCAAACAGTAGGAGTCGCTAATGCACACGGCAAACACACAATTCCTAAATACAGTTTCCCAAGTGGGCCATTCCCCTGTGCTGTTTGGGCACCTTAATCAGTGTGCGACCTTTGCTGACTTTAGTAACTTTACCCTTTAATTCACCCTGAATAGGTGCACATGTACCTCTCCAGTACGTCTATTTTGGAGTGTCTTGTTGCACAGTCAAGATGTGTTCAAACTTCAAAATCTCTAATCGCAACCAGATAAAGGACATCTAATGTGCCGCAATGAAAAATATGTTTCTATTTGGGCGGTTCATAAAAAATTTGTTCACTTCATGAATCACTTAGGCAGTACCCTCTCTTGCAGAAGAGATCATTTAGTTGGAATTTGTAAAGTATTTTGCTAATCTCACATTACCCACGTTGCAGGGATGACGATGACATCAATGATGTAGCCTCAATGGCCGGGGTGAACCTGAATGAGGAGAGCGCAAGAATACTCGCCACCAATTCTGAACTAGTGGGAACACAGATCCGCTCATGTAAAGACGAGGCCTTTCTCCATCCAGGACTGCTCCATCGACGTATTCTGGAAACAGGTAAGATAAGTGTGCCTCGCTTGTCTTCCAAGGTAGCAATGTTGAGGCTCATAAACATTTCACTCTGAAATGTTCTTAGCTGCCCTTAAAGAAGGCTAGCCTCTCAAGTGGTTATATAATAGCAGCTGGAAAAATCTTTATCTCAATTTACCTCCACCCTTCCACTCTAAACAGCAATCCCTCACTGGAAGTAGTGATGAAATCACTATCTGTTGTCTTTGTGTTAGGAACATGTCATTTCTGTGTTTATAGTGTCATCACTAAAGACAGTTATGATTTTCTCTCCTTCTGTGGTTCAGACTGAGCCTTTTCTTGTTTGGCCTCGGTTTAAATTTGATACACTTAACAATTCTTTCACCTCCTTTAATGAATTCTTCAGTGGCTGTCTGAACTCTCTGGACCCCAGGCACACACATAAATACTTTATGGGTTTGTCTTTTGAAGGCTGGCTGTCAGATTGTCCTCTGGACTAAAGGAACAGAGTTTAGAGAAATGATACTTGCCAGTGAGATTTTGATTCTGATTTCGACTCTCTGATAGCTCACAGTTTTGCGTGTGCTAATCGATACAGGCGGAGAGGCCTTGTTTTTGTGTGCAGCACCACACGAGAGTGATAGTGTCTTCATTACCTCTTTTTGCTACGGGCAGTTACTTTTATTGCTTGAAATATACTTTAGGCTCTTGCTGCACAGTGAAACCTGTGAGAACATATAATGAGCGTTATTACTCAGGGTAAAGATGTGCCTAGCTTCTTGCTGCTGCGCATCAGATCAAAAAACACACAGCGTAATTCCACGTGACGGGGAGTCTAGCGCCCTCATCTTGTTTTATCTCAATTAAAGTATCTTTAGTGTAGCAGCATGGAGGCCTGCAGGTCATGTTTCGTTATGTGGACTCTTGGCATGGTTGTTATTCCGTCACCTTGGGGCAGAGGGGTTGTTTAAAAATATAAATCTTTCCTCAGGGGGGGCGCGCAGCATGATACAGGGCAGGAGTCTAGGGAGCCCCCTGCTGGGGAAGTGGCACTTATGCAGCTTTGTTGTGTCAGTGATTGGCCTCTCCACGCTCTCAGCTGACAGCAGTCCGAGGGAGGCTCCCCCGGCCTGCCAGCTCCACTCAATCAGAAAGCCTCGGCTGCTCCTCTTTACAGTACAAGCACTAAGTTCAACTCTGCTCTGCCGTCTCATTTACTGCTGAACATCCCGCTAAAACTTTACACTGTGGCCTTTCCTCCCCTCTAGTTGCCCCCACAAAAAGATGGGTTCCACCATCTTTCTTTTCTTTGTTCCTTGTTAATTTTCAAATCAGAGGAGAGTATTTCCTTTCTTTATACTTTTGTGAGAACTGATTCCAGGAGAGGATGTTGGCTGCTTCTTTCTGTCCCTTTATTTATTTTCCTCTTTATGGCTCTCTGTGTTTCCTCTCCTCTCTTATTTATCCCCTCCAAACAAACACTTGTGCCGCCCATCTCTCCCAAACTTCTCTCCCTCCCCTGAATAACTCTTCAGGCTGGTCCTTGAGGTGGGGAATGGTGGTGTAAAGCTGCAAAACAGCACTCCACCCCCACCATCTCCACAACCAGAACACAAGCACAGCTGGAGCTCTCTAGAAAAGCTCCTCAAAGTGTAATGATAGTCCACTGATACCTACCACACACACACACACACACTTGTGCACATACATGCACATGGGCTTATCACATAAACTTACACAAGTGGACAGACACAAGAAGACTGGCAGGACATTGGTACACAGAGCAGATATGCAACACACACACACACACACACACACACGTGCACACACACGCAAACACACGCACACACAGAGGCTCTTGCAGTGCTTGCATTGGCACAAAATATGGTTTACTCTGATTGGATGCTATGTGTTCTCAAGAATAATTTCCTGCAACTTGAACTTGATTCACTTTCAAAACAAAGGCAGTGCCTCATGCCACGCTCACATCATGTCAGTTTTACCATGAACCTAGCATGACCTGTTACTGGGGAAAACGCTGTTCACAAGCCTTCTAATTGTTAGACATGAGCTCCAGTAGTCAGAAAGAGTGGAGTGTGTTTAGTGTGTCTGGTCTGCGGCTTTCTAATTTTGCATGATATATATATAGCATGTTATAATTACGACTATTAAACTACTGTATCTAACCTAGTTTAGCATGTTGGCGTCATTAAATAGCACGTCACTGCCAAGGAATGATGCAGTCACTTAACGTCTGACTTTGCTTGACACGTATGTAAGCTGCTTGAGCTTTTTTGAGAGTGAAACATCATTGAAACAGACACTGCCATTAAATAATCAAATTGCTATGGCAAGCAGCTCTGAATACAGTTTACCTTGTTTTTCACCATGCTGTGGAATTTTTATGCTACATCCGCTGTTAGATCACACTAGCATTAGAACAATAAAAATGGTTTTTGGTCCCTATTTTGACTGGAGGAGGAATCAAACTGCTCAGGGATGCCTTTGTCAGGGTTTTTGAAAGGAGATGCTCCAGGTCACAGAACACTACTCTAACTTTTAACCTATCACTAATCATCAAAGGGGACATTACACTTTGCAAACAAGGTCAATGTGTGTTTTGTATATCTGTTAAAAGCTCATGACCATATTCAGCTCCTCGGCTACGGTCGCATGGTGTCCAGAGGTTGTGAGCCACTTGTTCCCTGTGTGTTATGAGCAAAAGCTATATTCTTAATATTTGGCATCACATAATGCACGTTAAAGATGCGTGTGGTCCTTGCTTTCATGGACCTTGACTTCTGTTCCTGATGTGCAGTGGAGTCAAGTGACCAGGATTCCCTACCAGAAAAGGTGTTTTCTCATTTCAGGTGAGGGGGAGCGGCTGCTCCAAGTGGAGTTCACCCCAAATTGTGAATTAATGACTATGAAGTTTCTGTTTCTGGTGAGCAGTTGGCACCTGCTGCTTATCAGTGTATGGATGTGTGTGAATGGGGTGTAATGTAGTTTAATGTGCTTTGAGAGGTCGGAATGACTAGAAAGGAGAATTCAGGACAATTGAGGTAGCTCAGGATCGTGGGTTATTATGCATTTGAGGATAGAAGATTTTATAAATATAAACTAGTATAGATGGGTCATTAAGGACCTATTCCATATTCACTGCCAGCTACTTTTTGAGTGGGATCCTTGTTGCTATGGATACCATTCAGTTCTATACTAAATAGATATTCAATTTACCAGGCCTTAACGCAGATTGTGTCTCTCTATTGGATTTCTTTATGTTGGCCATTGTGTTGAAAGTGACAAGCAGACAGCTGCAGCATAAGAATGGATATCTGCACCCAATTTGATGATATTCCATCCAATAGTTGACTGAGATAATTCAGTCTGAATCAAAGTGGTGGACCCACATGACCCACTGACTGACATCCCCAGAGCGATGGCTAAATGTCCACCTGATTGGAGATGTTACAATCTGTGGTGCAGGTTATTCCTGTTTTATGTGTTTCATGTAGAAATTAAAATATTGAAGCCATCCAGCTCATTAGTCTGTTTTTAGTTTGTATTGTAGGCCGTTTTTTTCTAGGTGAATAATTGTGCATTGTCTCAGTTCACGTTGAAGCGGTTGAGCAGTTGTTTTTGCTCAGAGAAATGTGTCTCTCTGGCTAAGTGTCTTAAACGTTCTCTGAAATATTAATGTCCCTGAAAGATCTTATTTTTTGGGAAGCAAAAGCCTGTTAGTGTTTTTCTTTGACCTTGTGACTTTGTCACATGTATTGCCACTGTAATTATAAGGCTAACAGAGCTCGCTCCATCCATTTCAAAGCTTGAGCGGGTAAGGAGTGTATTGTTCAGCTGATTTAAATAATTGGTGTGGTTTACTTAAAAGGGTGCCAGAGAGAAAATTATGGTAATGGAATAATTTAAGAGGAAGTTGGAAAGAGATAGCAACCCTACCAAAGTCTGTCCTCCTCTCTTTTGTTATGACTTAAGATGAGTTTTGCTCCAAGGAAACTAAATTATCCTTCTCCTACAAAAAGAGATGGTCAATGTCGTTTACACACTTGAAGGAGCTAAGCTAGTAAAGCCACTCTGGAATTTGCACTAAGACTGTGAAACAAATTAACTTTTAAATGCGTGATGAGTCCTATTTCTGGGAGTTAATTGCACGTACTAATCCAGACAGTTGGTCTGTGTGAATGTGTGTGTAATGTGTGTAATGTATAGTGGAGGTATTGAATGAAGGTCGTGGTCCTCTGCTGGTGTGTTTTTATGAGCTGTTTAGTTGGATGTGCTTTTGTAGTGAAACAGTTACCTTCTAGGTGCTTAGCTGTTGTTTTTCTCAAAATGGCAAGCGAAAAAGCAAGTGAGGTGATGATGAAAACAATTTTGTACAGTTTATCCCTTTAGTAAATTAAAAGTGAGTATAAAGGTTATTTTGTTAAACCCCCAATGGTAAAGTGGAGGATCAAAATTTTAATTGCAACAGAGTCAGTGAGGTGAATGATAAATCTGGGTTTAATTACAACGTGCAAAAGTTCTAACTGTATCTGTCGTATGATAAAGCGGTGTTAAAATGATATTAATGATGTACTGATTGCAAAAGTTTCATCTTGTTCTAAATGTGTGTGTGTATGTGTGTGTGTGTGTGTGTGTGTGTGTGTGTATCCTTCACAGCAAAGAAGTTTGGAGTCACGGAGGTCCCTATGGAGGCGGTGACATTCATCTCACACGCCACGCAGTCACGACTCCGTACTGTGGTAGAAAAGGTTTCTACTATCGCACAGCACCGACTGGACTCCTGTAAGGTAGGATTGATGCAAACACACATAACCACACACACACACACACATACAGACACACCCACAAGGTAGAGATGTACAGAGCTAATAACATCTCTGTTTAAGTAATTCAGTGCCTTTTGACTCACTGCACTCCAGATACAGCAACTTTCAAATTCCCTGCCACATTTTTAAAGTTGCTTAGCCTAGTAGCTAACATACAGCTGACACTGGGAGAATTATAAATTATTTTAGTTAATTTTAAGCGCAGTAGGCTGTGCCTTGCCTCCAGCAGCTTCCTGTCCACACGTCGAAGTGTCCCTAAGCGAGACCTGATGGTCAGGCCAGTGCGTTATGTGGCAGCTCTGCCTCCATCAGTGTGCGTGAGTGTCAGTGGGTGAATGAGATGCAAAAATTATAAAGCGCTTTGTATTGCCTGAATCAGAAGGTGAGGTTAATCCCACCCCTCTATATAACTGGCTGGACATTGGGAGCCTCGTGATTTTGTAGGTCAGAGTTCAGTCAGATTGAAATGCGATGCGATGAGTGCACAAAGTGAACATGTTGGCCTCACTTTGCTCATTGAAAAAAATGAGGAGCGAAATCTGGTGTGATCGCAGAATCAGTGCATCATTTGTTTTATGCTCAAGTCAGAAATAAATGAAATGAAAAAACGTGCCACAGACTGAAATGGATTTTGTGACTTACTTCTTTGTGAGTTGCTCTTGACAGCCTAACTTTGCAGCAAATACCCTTAGCACTACCTGATTCAATGTAATGAGCATGAGTTGGAACATCAATATGTTGTTTTTTTCAACAAAAAACTTTGAAAAATGTTAAAAGTCGTCACTTGTGTGAAGAGGTCACTGTTACATGAAACAGTATAATGTTGCCATGGATACAGTGAGCTAGATTGTGGGGCAGCAACGTGAGCCGCATTTTAAATTGGTTTACATTTTGGAAAGTAAAGTTCAAGTTCATATTCATTGCATTAAATCAGGTACTGACATCGGCCAAGTGTATTTGCTGCACGTTTTTCAAGTGCAACACACAAAGAAGTCAATAACTTCCTGGTCGCACATATCGAGCACGTTAAATTAGTTTTTTCATTTCCTGGGCATAAAATCGAAGTACAAAAAGCAAGCCATTATTTCAGTTTTTTGTATGTTGGATTCATAAATGAATAACAAAATAACATTTGTTTTGAAATTTTCCAATTTTTGATTCCCTATACAATACGAAAATATTGTGTTCGAATTGTCATGTTGTTCATTCTAATTTGCCTATGGAACAACTCTGTAATTATTAATTTTGGGAAAACAACACCAACAATACATTGTGTTTTATGTTTCTATTTCGAATCGTAGAAAGTATTGTTGAGAGTATTGACAAATAAGTATCATTAATCAGTAATGTAATTGATAAAATCCAAATGACGCCCTATTTATTTGAGCATTGTCACGACACACTGAAGCTGCCGTTGTATTTGGGTTAACAACAGAGGACAATGACGTGCACTGATCTGTGGGGCAGAACAAGCCATATGAAGTCAAACAATTTTCTTGAACCTCTGTTACTGTGAAAATGGGTGGCATGTATCCAAGCAGCCGTTCACACAAATGATGTACAAGCCATTTTGTAGGGAAAATATACAGAAAACAGACATTAAATCACTCAAACTGGGAAAGAAACTTCATCAGGATATTTGAGCACACTCATATTTAAACACACAAACTCGAATCTAACACACAGTGGCATGCACACAAATGCACTTTTATCTGTCTCACACATAAAGTCAGACAATAATGCAGGTGTACCACAAACAAAAACACATATAAGTTAATATGGGATATATTTTTCACCCTGAAGTTGATAAACAGGAGAGCTCAGACTTTTCAGTCAGTCAGCCAAAACTTGAGGTATGAAAGAAACTTCTAAGTGCTCGTCTGCGTTCACCTGCGCACCTTCTTTATTGGTGACTTTATCTCTTGTAGTCCTTGTTATAACTATATAACCACATTTAATTGGTGTACATTAAAGCGCAAATCCATCTCGACTACAAGCCTAAATCTTGGCATTGTTGGGAGAACTGGGGGAAAACTTTGAAAATGTGTTTTTCCTGACACCAAGAAGGGAAGAAGAGGAGGAGGGAGGAACAGCATCGCTACAGCTGTCCCCATCTTGTTTTGTGCTTCTTCTATTCCTTCGTTCTTTTCCTTTTTTGTGGTTTTGTAAATGAGGTGTGTGTGAGAGAGACATGAAGCTCTGTGAAGCCACTCTGTTGACATCAGCGGAAAAAAAAAGAAAAGAGGACAAAAGACCAAAAGACAAAGCGGCCTTAAACAGCAACCGGGCGGCAGGAGCTACGGCAAGAGTGCAGGCTCAGCGCTGGAACAAAGAGGAGGAACGCTGGATGAGAGAGAGAGGGGGTGAGGGGGGTGCTGGCGATGAGCCTCCTCTGATGTGTCTTTGTGCTCTGTGCCACCCAGCTTCTCTCACCCACTCATGGAAACAGACACTTGATATAGAAATCAAGTGCAAGAGGAGAACGGAGCTGCATAGGATACACGCAGACATACCACACAAACATGTGAAATAAGCAATTATCCTATTAACTTTTGATGACCTACAAAAGTTGTTTTTACACTTGCCTTTCCATTTCCCAAGTGGGAGGTGATGCGCCATATGCAAAGAGAAGCGTTGTCTGTAAATAAAAAGAAGTCAGTGTGTTCAAGTCGGTTGTTGTGATCAGACTGGTGGTGTTCCAGATGAGTTTAAGGTTGATTCAACCAAATGTGCACTTATGATGAAGGTCTTTGTCATACGCCTGATTTAAAGTAATCAATGATTTTAATCATAGCTTTTAATAGTGATGGTAGTCCATTATATATCTTTTTGTATGGGAGATGTATCACCAAATTGTTAACAATGCTGCGTTTAATCAGGTTGGCCTGAAGTGACAGCTGTGCTGTGGCAAGGAGCACTTGCACCACAATGCCAGTCAATGCATACAATAAATCACACATGGACAAAGTGTCTCCTTAATCTGGTGTCAGAAAAATAGATTTCATTTTTACAAAGTCTTCACGAGTCACGTAAAACATGGAAATAGCAGAAGGCTCGTGCTTGTTATCACCTTCTCAAATCTTCTCACATAATAAGCACAATTATTTATTATCACTCTTCACTTATAATGAGGACTGAGCCACGCATCATCTCAAGCACACCTAATTATGGTCACACACATCTTTTATTTTGTCAATTTGCTCTGTACCTGTCTAGCTTTCTCTCCTCTCTGTCTCATGTTGTGCCTTCTTGTACAGTATCTCAGTAGCTACTTCCGAAAGTGACCTTTTTACTTAAATTCACTGAGTAGTGCTGTAACAAGTAGTTGATTGATTTATGAGAGACAGAAAATGTATTTAATTTTTCTAATCAAAAAGCTGCTGTTATAGTTATATAATATTTAATAATTTAAGTTCTGATTTGCTGCTTTGCTACATCATTTAAAATTATCTTTCGGTTTTGGACTGTTGGCAATATGAAAGAAGTGATTTGAAGACTTCTGACAAATTGTGCTGGGTAGTATTCAAAATTTTCTGACACATAAATATTTAATCAAACAATAACAAGGAGCAATTGATAATGAAAATAATCATTAATTGCAGACTTAACAACAATCTTATCAGAACTGATTATTCATCTATAGATTTCTGGAGAGTACATGACTCATTTTACCTAACTTGTTCTCTCTTAAGCTGCAATTTTCTGTCAATACTCGAGCTTTGGTTGAAATAAATGTTTCATAGTAGATGATGTAATTTATTTTTTTGTTTCGAGATCATTTAGTACGTATAGATGGACTGCCCTAAAGTTCTGAAATGTGTGCCCAAAGCATCAGAAGCAGCCACTGATGGGACTGAAAGCCTTTTTCAACTCTCTGTCTCCATGTCAGGATGATGAGTGCTATGAGCAGTCTGCAGACGTTCGCTCTCAGCTCCGCTTCTTCGAGCAGCTGGAGAGAATCGAGAAGCAGAGGAAGGACGAGCAGGAGAGAGAGATCCTGTTGAAAGCCGCTAAAGTAAGTTACTGTCACCTCACCATCCTACTATGTGAGTGTGTGTGTGAGTGTGAGAGAGAGAGGGCTCTTATGTCCCCATGCAACAGTGTGTTTTTGTGTACTGCTGTGTGTATGTGCGTGCATGTTGATCCTGCGCAGGCCCTGACAGATGAATTAGAGTGTGACACCAGTGGATGAAGTGACCTCCCTGTGTCCTCCCAGGCTCCTGGCCCCAGGGCTCCTCTGTCCTGGCTCTTCCTCCCCGGACACAGCGAGGGTGGGGGTAGGGGGGACCTCTTACACTATGCAAACCCCATGCACCATGCAGCCAACACACACTCACCCACCCCATGTACAAACTGCAAAACATCCCTCTATCACTAGCCTTGAAAGCTCAGGTGAAACAGGGCATCAGTTAAAAAAAGAGAGTACAGATTTCTCATTGCGTCAGAGAGGCCAGCATGTGATTGTTCTGTCAGTCCATCTAAAAATACATTGTATATGGCTTTTACATATGCTGTTCTAAACATCTGGTTCAAAGTACCAAGAATATTGCACTGTGCACACAGGAAGTTTTACATTTTTCCAAAAGCAGGAACAGATATTGCTTTAAACTTTATGCCTCATAATACTGGCTGCACTGCTTGATGTAGAGATGGTCTTTAGAAACAAATTCACTACGGCAATAACCGTTTAGTACCAAAGATAATAATAAAATTGCAGATGTCACAGATTGTAACTTTAAGCAAAATTAGACATAATTTCCTTTTTCAAAACACTACATAGAAAAAAACATCAATGAATTAACAGATGCATCATTTACACAAGTTTTGTTGAACATGGGGAGAAACTGGCTTTTGCGCAGTAGTGTGCACTTCATTTTAGCTGTCACACAATCAATTTCAAACACAATCATAACTACAGGCATTGTTTTTTCCTGAATCTTGAATGGTGGTAAAGGTTAATTTATGGGCCTGTAATTAGTATATATTTAGTAAAGAGAAACCTAATTCCTAAGCCATTATTTCAGCAGTTACCAGCTGCTAACACCTACATTGCGAAGGCAGCACATAATTTTAACCATCTGGAATAGAGCAAGCGTTATATCTAATATTAATCAACAAACCTTAAAACGTGTAGAGTTTCTTTTTATTGGCTCCATGTCACAAGCGTTTTTCCGTCCATTGTTATTTATTCTCTCAGCTCACTGTATTAGGTTTCATTTACTGATAGTCCAGAAGTACTCAAGGGTAGGTCACATGACATAATATTAGCTGTTTTATTAGGCTACAGTAGGTGAAAATATTTGTACAGTTGTGACATTTCCGTTACACAGAGCAAATAAAATTCAATCGCTGGTATAGTTCTTTAGGAAGAAGTACAGTTTGTGTGAATCCTTGCTAATTTAGAAGGTGTATCCCTACAGAGTGTAGATGTCACTTTCATCCAGTCGATAGATTGAATACTGTTGCACAAAACTCATTACACAATAAAACATAGAGAACCAGAATACCTACACTAACTTTGCATGAAAGTATCCCCGGGTCCTTGCATTGTAACCTGTCCACAATTCAGATCCCAGCCCAGTTTATCAGTAAAAAAAAAAAGACTTCAAATTTGGAAAGATACCACTGACACCCCCCCCCCCAAAAAAAGAGAGAGAATCTTTTGCAAATGAAAATGCCCCGCAGTACAACATTAGCAGAAAGCTAGGTTAATTTAATTAATTTTGAATGGAGCCAATGTCCCACAGTAAAGATTCTCATTGCAGCACACCTTACCGTCTTAATTGCATTATTACGCTTCAGTCCTGCCATGCAGGATATTAGAAAATCCTCTAGCTGATGAATTCTGGCCACCAAACCTTATGACCTGTCTGTTTTTTCTTTGAGGAGAGACCAGATAGCCTCACTCCTGGTTGTGAAAAAAGACATGGCCATTGCATTTTTTTTAACAACACACCTCCTGAAACTGTGAAGTGTGTTGTTATAAAAAATAATCATGATGCTTTTATGTCCTCTTGTCAGTGCCCAGTTCTACATGGTTGAACAGTGTAATCTTCTGAGAACAGTTGTCTTCGTTAATAGGATTACTGAAGAACTTTTGCAAATTTAGCCAAGTTGTTGTTGGAAGGGCTTACCTCGGGGCTATTTGGATTGCATGAGCAGTGTTGAGGATAGTTTGACTTCACCTCAAAGCCATGTCTATGGCTTTTTGGCCCTTGTTGCCATGGTGTTTCAGTTGAAGGAGACATTTGGAAAGCAAATATTTGCCTAATGATTTTACGATATATTACACCACCACACTGCCTGATAAAATACTACAGTAGTATTTTTTTCTATATTATTATGTGGACACAAACAAACCCTCACTGTGATCCCTGCAGGCAGGAAATAGGGAAAATCCATCATTAAACACTTAAACACTGTTTTGTTGTTGTATTTTTCTTAGTCCCAATGATAAATGCCCAAGCTCTAAATGTCACGACCAACGTTCAACCATTATACAGAGAGAAATACGTCACTGAATACATCATACACCTCAAAACTTCAATTCAGTTCAATTTATTGATTTACAAGGGACAGTGCACAAAATAATGAACGTCAATGACGTAAATATGCTAGGTTTAGCCAGAAGGCTCTTTTTCATCTGTACTCCATAATGTTATGGAGCCAGAAGACATCTTGCATAAGTGGCTCATCTGACTTCTTCGCGACGTACAACACTACTGCACTCATGTTTAAAAACAGATAAAATGAAGCTTGATATTGATTACTTTCGTTTTCACTAATGTGTGAAGCAGATGAGATAAACCACATTGATGAATAAATGTATCCGCGATTAATGCAATAGAAGTTTCACCCACTGGACTTAATATCTGGGAGAATTTATTGATAGGATATTCATATGGAGTTAGTTTCACTCTTTCCACATACAACTCACAGCTAAATACAACAAGTACAACCCTGTAGGGGTTTAAGAAGTATGTGTCGAAAAAACTACTCAAGGTAAAAAAAAATACACCATCAAAATATAACTCCTGGGATATGATCAACATTGCAGATTGATTATGTACTGTAGAGCACCATTTTGGGGTGTGGGATTTCTCTTTATTATTTACATACAGTACACTCTACTCTGCCAAACTCCACAGAGCTTGTCTGCGCTTACTACCCAGTCCTCTTCTCCCCTTTTCCCCTCTGTTCTCTCCTGTAAGTGGGAAAACCAGGGCAGCTGACAGAGGAGATGTAAAGCATGCCAGTGGCACCGCTGCCCTTTGTAAACAGTCCATCTGTACCAACCCCTCCCACTCCTCCGCCCCTCCGCCACCCACCTCCCTAGCCGCCTGCCTCTCTCACTAATTTGACCTCTTGAATAAGAAGCCCACTAAAATAATCCCCTCCACCCCCGTCTTCTCACCTCCTTCTTTCACAACAAGCCCTCCCCTCCATTCTGTCCATTTAAAATATGACTCAAGTCTAGAGGGATGCTCGGGCCGACCGGAGGGCAAGCACATTAGACTTAGTTGAGATACCGACCAGTACGTGAACTGCCTGATATATTTAAAGCCAATTAGCGTGGAGGCTAGGAGGAGCAGCTTTCCATCCATAAGGCAGAAAAGATGAGGAGAGGAAGGGGAGAAAGGGAGGTAGAAGGTTGAGGCCTGCTTTGGAGGGATGCCCAGCACTCACTCTGAGTGATTTGGCATTGGAAGGAGAAATTAAGTATAAAATCAAAATAGATTAATATTCTATGATGTACAGAGTGTATTGTAATAATATATATTCAAGGGACATTTTATGATTTTATTGTATAGGCCGACATTGTAGGCCTTTTGAAATGTGGACTGATGCTGTAGAATATTTGCCAAAAGACATATTGGACAATACGGGAAATTTATGTTTGCGAGAAATAATTGGGGTTTTGTATCCAGATCCACAAAATAACAGCACTCGGTTAGTGTGCAGTACCATAATCTGGCCGTATTGCCCGCAGTGGTCAGCCGTACGTGTACATTTGGGCCTGTGGTGAAGGATTCCCAGGGACAAGTACATTCACCCAGATCTTGGCTGCTGATTAAAATAGAAGTGCTGTGTTGTTACGCCAGGGACACACACACACACACACACACACACGCACTCATGCACACACACATGCACGCGCGCGCACACACACACACACACAGAGCAATGGATTGCCACACTGGCTCATAATGACACACACGCAGCCACTGCCACTGATACTCACCAACATCCTTTGCCCTGTGTGTGTGTGTGTGTGTGGGTGTGTGTGTGTGTGTGTGTGTGTGTGTGTGCTGGCTCGTGCAGAATTTTTAATAACCTCTTTTGATTAGAATCCCCCTCCAGCGGCTTATTTAGGGCTGGATTTGGAGCGGGTTTAAAGGCCACCGCCCCCCGGGGGGCGCTCCATTGCACTTCTCTGAATTCAAATACGATGTCCTTGACACCTCTGTATCCTGTTCCCATTTTGCACTATTTTTGCTGCAGCAGCAACAGATGAGTAGCGAGGGGGGGTGGGCTCCTTAAACCAGCTGTTAACCTGTGTTTTTCCCCCCCTTTACTCTACAGAGTCGCTCCAGGCAAGAGGACCCAGAGCAAGCTCGACTGAAACAGAAAGCTAAGGAGGTAAGCTGCTGCGGAGATCATTACCCTTGACATTTCCCCGACTCTAGCGTATTAATTTTTCATGCCTCACTACATATGTAATGCCATTTAAAGTCGGACTTAAAAAAGTTTGAGGAATTATTCGCGTCGATTGATGCCCATGTGTGGAACATTATTTTCTGTGCACTAAAGAGACCCTCCACTTCCTCCACCCCCTTCTTTTTCTTTTTTTTCCCGTCTATTTCAGCCCCTTCATCTTTCACTAGTTTGAAATTTGGGAAGGACATACAGTCATAACTGTCATAGCTTTTGTAGGTTTATTCTGCATTCCTTTTCTCAACTTTTTGTTAATAATATTTGTTAATGCCATTTTGTTCTAACACAAAACTATAACATCTGTCTCTCAACCTACTTACTACATTATGACTTGAAAGAGAGCAAAAAAAACATGTTTTTGTCTTTTCTCTTTGGAAGACAGTCAAACTGCAACAATAGTTCAGTAAGAACATAAAACAGAAAAGAAAGTGAATGGTGAATGAGGGTTTCAGATGTACCAATCCATGCTCTACATTAACTTTTACTACTACAAACGAGTAAAAAGAGTTATTTCCTTCTTCAAGTAATAGGCCATGGCATAACACATAGTGTAACAAATTGGGAAATGTTTTACTGATGTAGTGCACTTCTGTTGGCAGAGCGATGCTATATCCTCCTCATTTTAAGTGCAGGTCTTGTGTATGGAAAAATTCCCAGTGGAACTCGAAAAGTAGACCACTCTTCTTTTAGTGGTTGGTTAATGTTGTTTACGCAGACGAAATAATTCTGTCACAGCGGAAGTTTGTATTTGTTTTTTTCTTTGTTTACTCCGGAATAACTTCACCGGGTGCTTTCAGTCCTTGGCTCACTAACAAGGATCAAGAGGATTGTGTGGAGCTTCCATAGAGTAGTCTGAATAGGCAGAAGGATAAAACAAGCACTGTTCACCTGTTGTAGTTGTTGTTATTGATGTAGAAGTTAAGGAGCAGACGTGGTTTCTTTTAAGTCATTTGCTCTTTTAAAAAAAGCGCTTTATTCATCCGGGTAAACTTTACTGAGCTTGTATGCACTTTTCTCACTAACACTAACCCTAATTTATTCTTTCACAGAATTCCACCTGACAGCTCCCCAGTGGGACCACTATCTTTTAATGTTGGTCACTCAGCCATTTACATTTAGGGGTAATTGTAAATCCCCTGCTCAAGGGCAAATTTAAATTGTTATTGGGCCAAAGTATTTCTTTTTTAGGATTTTCTCTCTGCCAGTCTGTGGTGTTGAACTTATGACCTTCAAGTGACAAGCCAACTTCTCTCACCTCTGGCTACTAGCAGCGCTCTGTCTTTTCTCTGTGTCTCTCCGGGACATTTCTTTCTAGCAACATTGAGCCCTGCTGCAGTTTAGAACATTCACACTAGATCTCAGCCTACCCATAAGCCCCACATATGCAAATGAAGCAGTGTAATAGGCAGCGCGATAGGTTTGCCCCAGGGGCCATGTGATCAAAGTGGATCTCCTCCCTGTTAAGTGGCAGTCCGCTCGTCATCTGGATACGGCCAGATTAGTGCCTCGTGAGGAGAAGCCGCGTGCACGTATGCACATTTTCATTTTCATCTGGAATTTTAAGAAGGTGGTTTAGAAATTGTTACTTTATGTAATGTTTTCTCCCGCTAGCTAGAGCCCCCCCCCACACACACACACAGAGACCTTCTTCCACCCTCCCTCACCTCTTTCTTTTTTGCTTAATGGCCGTCGTTTCTCAGCCCCCGTGCCTCTCTGGTTTTCATCACCTGAGCTGGCTGTTTGTGTCACTGCAGAGTCTGTCGGCAGCTCACACATCTGTGCAAATTTCATCAGGATAATGAGCCCGAGCTACTCTTCCGGGCGACGGGCAGAGGAGCCAGCGTCTCTTTAAGTCCCTCTCCCTGATCAAGCACACACACACACACACACACATGCACCTATACACATACACACAAAACAACCACCACCACCAAACAATCATCATTTTGGTGATATGGAATTACAGCGTGTTTTATACTTGAACCAAGTGTCGGCACATAAATTGAGCTGGAACATGATTTGTTTTTAAAAAGGCAGGTGCAGCGTCTTGTGAAACTATAGTTGCATTACTGAGTCTAGTGGCCAGGTATCAACCCATGACCAGCAAATGAATGGTATGAATGGGCAAGCTCGGGTTGATTGTCAAGTCAATTTAATTTACAGTACGTAGGCCACCATTTGCCTCAAAGGTCTCTAAAATCTGTTCAACTTTATCCTTAGACCCTGGTGTATATGAGGAGAAAATCCACAATAAAGGGGGAAAAACCCATGATCCCTGGTGATACCTAGGTTTTTTGTTTTTTGTTCTTTGTTTTTTAGTGATATCACTTACACGCTGTAGTTCCACAAAGGCCACATAAGTGCTTGAATGGCTGCAGTTAAGTCACTGGCATTGCTCACATTTTAGCCTGATAGCAATACAGAATTATTAGTTCTCACCTTTTCACAGTGCATACACGTTTATATGGTGACAATAAGGACAGATTGGATTAAATAGATTGTTACCACCAAATCTTAAACGGGTTGTCTGGTGGAACCCTGAGTCAATATACCAGTGGGATCCACCACCTTTCCTGCGTGGATTCCTAGGATGATGAAAATTGTAGGTGTTACGTGTCACTAACAGGGCTTTAAGATTTTAGTCTTGCATCTAAGGGAAATATATCCGTAGCTATGCCTATAATTGTGTATCTGTATTTGCACCAACAACCTATCCCACAACCATGTCACCAGCAGAGCATGCTGGTCAGATAGACGCTGGCAGAGGTTTTTGCGTGAGAGAGAGAGCCAGAGTAGTCTAACCCTCTCTAACCGACTCTGTTTCCTCCATTCACTAGCATTTGGCCGAAAGGTCAGATGGGCTATTTCAGAAATGCCCCCAGTGAAAATCAATGGGCAAATCGTGGAGCTCAGTTCCTGTTTGCTGTTATTGTTGTTGGTGGTGGTGGGTCTGTGTGTTCTGTCTGTTCCATCACTGAGGCAGGAGGCCAGGCAATGCCTATTCATTGAGAGAGAGAGAATGAGACAGAGACAGAGAGAGAGAGGGTGACCGAGAGACAGCGAGTCAGAGACAAAGAGACGGAGAGAAAAGGAGACTTGGGTTGGGAGGGGAAGAGAGGGGAGGCAGGGGGAGATAGAGAGGGAGTTAAGGCCAGTAGAGATACATCACAATGTCAGACACACAGACACACTGCAGCCACAGATTCATCATCGCAACCGCGTCTGCAGGCACAACTGGACACAGGAAACGAGTGAGCTGGAGAAGAGCAGTGGAGCAAGGACAGGCGAAGAGAGACGAGGGAAGAGGGGAAAGACAAATTGGCTACTACAACTGGCCAAAATCTGGCCAAAAGCTCCTGTTATGGCCTGTTCAGCTGCTAAAGCAAACCCCATCATGCCAGGATCACTAATTCTACTGTATAGAATTGTTAATATGACTTGGTTATGGACTACACCATCATATGCTATTGCTCTTTCTCCAGTCTTCCACATTACCATGCCCTTGCAGCAAGACTCCGCTCCTAGCTTAGAGTGATTCCAGAAGACTTATGTGAACTTCAATAGGAATCTCAAAGGTTTTTTCCCTCAAGTAGTGCTTCTTCTTCAGGCATTGAGAGAGGAGTTTTTGCCCATTTTGACGCACCAGCATTGCTCGAAATGTCTTGAACCTCTACCGAATTAATTCTGCCCTAACTCAACTTTGCATATCTCCAATTAAAAGCCTGTAGTTACAATACATCCTTCTATGCTCTACGAACATATGAGTCTATTAATCGAATTAGACTAATACTCGTGTGAGACGTGCCCAACCGTGGTCAAATTTAGTATATTTTGCCTTATTTCTCACATAATAAAATATTGCTCACATAATAATGCTGTGCATGTTATTTAAATCAAAACCCTTTGCATGGCCAGTATGCACCACGCCTTAATGTACACATACTGTGCATGTTTTGTGAGTGGTCTGGCATCCTCCACAAGTGACCAGGTCACGGAGAAACTGGAATCCACCCACACTGAAAGCCCCGTCAGCCAGAGCTCTCGCACTTCTCCAGAGAGGAGAGGCTCTTGTGTGTCAGAGGACAATGTAGTAGCCCCTTGTTTTTACTGTGCCAGTTATATCTGCGAGTTCATAGGCTCTCATCCTCTGGCCCTCCACAAACTGCTCTGCTCAAAGAGGCGCTCTCCCCCCGTAAGGCAGGCCCCAGGGCAAAAGCCTGCTACCATCCTCCACGTTCTCTCCCTTTCTGCGCTGACTTTCAAAGAGAATTCCTGCTGTTTTGTGTGTCCCAATTCATAGTTGTTATATTCTTGTCTTCTGGCCCCACAGATACACATTACCTTAGTATGAAAAGAGCAGCAGTGTTCATGGTCAACCCGTGGGATTGTGAGTAGAAGAACAGTACGCTCATGTTCTGCTCAAGTGGAAAGATCGTGTGTTTTTAACCCTGTTTATTTTTAACAAAGTAGGTTATGCATTAGTTTAGCATGTGTCCTTTTATTTAATATAACTTTAACGGGATTTGTATTTTTTTGAAAAATCATACAAAAGGTTGATGTGGAGAATTTAATTATCACATAATAAGGGTCCTTAAGATGCGCAGGCTACTAAATAGTACACTAACCCTATGTTTATTTGTTGCTTTGTTGTCGGTAGACTCAACTTGAGTTTTCTTCTTCACCTCAAGACATATTACAAGAAAAAAAGAATCAAGCTTTAAAAGTACCTTTGGTGTTCCTGTGTGTTTTCGAATATTACAAAGTGCTGTAATGAGAAGGAAAACAACAAAAAAGGAGATTTTTTTTTTTTGCCTCAGAGGGAGATAGCGACTCGTCTTCTCGCTGTACAAGCCTGTAGGTTCACTTTTCTCTTTGTGCGCCAGAGCACTCCTTGGGACTCGAGCGACAGGGGAATTGGGCGTGCT